TGAGGTTACGTAAATTCATGTTCTCTTGCCCTGTCCGGGGACGTTGCGCCGTCCACCTCCTGCCACACTGCGCGCGTGAGCGGTGAGCCTCTTCCGTAAACGGGCCGAGCCCCCACTGCGGGCCGCACTTGCCTTCCCGGTGTTTCTGGGGTGTCCTTTTTGTTCCAAGCTGCTACCCCGCATTTAGTTGTTGTGCCTTTGTAGTCTCCAGTCTATGACAATTTCTGTCCTTCCTGACCTTGGATACTTTTGAAAAAGGCAGGAGCGTATTTTGTAGTGCCCCTCTACAGTTTTCTTCTTTTTTAAGCAGGTAACCAAGTTTAGCTGGGGATTTAGCTCAGTGGTTCCGCCGCCTGCCTTGCAAGCGCAAGGACCTGAGTTCGATCCCCGGTACAAAAAAAAAAAAAAAGGCAGATAACTAAGTTTGTCTGTACTCTGAGCTTGTTTGCTCCCCCGTTCCGCACCCCGGCTCTCTCGCGTCTTCGGGTGGCTCCAAGTGCCATTACCTGGCCACCCTCTCTCTCTCTGTCCCCCTTCTGTGCACAACTCTTCCTCCGCGCTTACCCCACTTCTGCCTCCCCTTTGCGACCCACTGGCGGTTGCTCCTACGTGTCCGTCTTTCCTGCCGCGCCGGGAGCTCCAGGAGGAGGGGAGCTTCTCCCTCACACCCTCCCCTAGCACAGTGTCTGCTGCACAGTGGGGCTCAGGGGTTATCCTGAGATTTAATGTAAACGCGGGGTTGTGCTCCAGTTCCTCAAGTATTCCACCATCTAGAGGACTTGGGAGCATGCCTTTTTTGTTGTGGTAGCTGGTCTTGAACTCCTTGTAGCCCAGGCTGGCCTCAAATTTATGATGATCCTCCTGCCTCAGCCTCCCGAGAGCTGGGATTACAGGTGTGCGCCGCCGCGCCAGGCTCCAGGTCCAACATTGAGGTTAAATTGGTATAATTTCTCCAGAAGATACCACACAGCCATTACCAATGTAAATTACAAAAATTATCTAGGCAACCAGGAAAAGGTGCATGTGAGAAAAGACAAGTTATTATTCCCCAGGGCGGCGGTTGTGCTGTGGGTCGCAGGCCATGTGCTCGGCTGTAGGTTTTCTGCTGCGCAGCGGTGGTTGGGGGAGGCGGCCCCCCGGCAGGTGGAGGAGCGGCCCTTCCTGCACCCTGGCTTCCCCTGAGGTTGGAAGGAAAACCTCGTGCTACGAAGTCACATACAAATTTCCCATGACGTTTCCGGGTAAAGCATCATACCTGAGTGAAATCCCACGCGCGGGGGCTTTCTGGGCAAAATCGCGCTCGCGGATAGATGAAGCGCTCACCGCGGGGACCCCTCGTCTTGCCCGCCCCAGGACTGGGGGCCTGGGCGTCCTCACCCGCCTCGTCCCTCGTTCCTCCTCGCAGTCGGGTGCCATCATGACCGTGCTGGCCGCCGTGTGCACCAGGGTCCCGGACGGGAGGCTCGCCATCATCTTCCTGCCCATGCTCACCTTCACGGCGGGCAGCGTGAGTACCGGGCGGGGCGGGGCGGGGGGCGCCGGGCGGAGGACCAGCGCAGGTCGTGCCACTTCCGCTCTCCCCCCAGGCCCTGAAAGCCATCATTGCCCTGGACACGGCGGGGATGATCCTGGGCTGGAAGTTCTTCGATCACGCGGCGCATCTCGGGGGCGCCCTCTTCGGCATGTAAGTGTGGGGAGTGCCACGGCTGAGCTGCTGGGGGCAGAGGGAGCGGCGCCGCAGGCTGTGGGCCCCTCCTGACCGTGCCAGCCCTGTCCACCCTGTCCGTGAGCCCCCAGCCTCCCCTCTCTTTGTGCTGTAATCCCCCCCCCCCCTCGCGGTGGGAGACTGAGGCAGCAGGGCGGAAGTCACCCCGATCTGCAGCCCTCTGGCCAGCACACCCCACGCGCACACCTGGCTCTCGGCTTTGTAGGCCGGAAGCATCCCGGGACCCTTGAGCCTGACGAGCTGGCGCCCGCCCAGCCCGAGTAGTTGTTTTTGCATAACTGCTGCCACTTGCCCTTTGTTTTTACTTTGTTTCACAACAGTGGAAAACTGGTTTTCTAATTAAAAAAGAAAAAGTAAAATCTATTCTAAGTGCACTGACTCGCCCAGTAGGTGGTGGAATTAAATGCCATTACGCCATTTATAATGTTCGGCGGTGATTAAAGAACAGCACGTGTGTCCCCCGCGTGAAGCGCATCGCAGTATAAATAGAGCGCACTAACCTGCTGTTCCGGTGTGAGGAACAGACTTCAAAGGGCGTTCGCGCCGAGCTCTAAATTTATCTGGAGCTCTCCACCACGGCTTTTTCTATCTTGCAAACAATGGGATCAAATGCATTTTAAAGTTCAGATCTAAAAGGCAGAGCAGTTTTTTCTTTTTGCTGTTTCTAATTTAACTCCTTTTCATCCATTATTTCTTTTATATTCTGAGTTCATCTTTTCATTAAAGTGAATTTAGAAATGCTGGAAACCTAATCTCAAATTTGTTTGTGGTACTGGATTGAACCCAGGGCCTTTGCATCAAGCTACATCCCCAGCCCTTTTTAAAATTTGAGACAGGGTCATGCTAAGTTGCCCAGGCTGGGTTTGAACTTGGGGTCCTCCTGCCTTAGCCTCCCAGAGTGCTGGGATTATAGGCGCGCAACATGCACAGCTTTTAATTACTGCTTTTTGTTTTAGTCAAAGTGCCCTGGTTTTGTTGATGGTAAAGGTCCCGTTGGTATCGGCCTGCTCGTTTCCCTGGCTTTATGGCCGGGACCAAGTCCTTCAGGCCTCGTGCCCGGCCCCCGCCCTCCCCCTCCTGTCCTGCAGGTCAGGGAGCTGCTTAAAGAGGGCGGCTGTGCCGGGGTGGCACTGAGTTCCCGCTTGTAGTGGAGCCCCTCTCCAGTGACATTGGGTTTGTGAGTCCTCAGAGCAGCTCACCGTAAGATTAAACCATTGGGCTCTGGTCGGTAAGTGCGCCCAAAGATTTAGAAAGTATCTTTCCTATTAATGAAGAGTTCTTGACAGGTTCTTGTGTTTCTTGAGAGTCTTGCTGTTGTTCAGGCTGATCTTAAATTCACTGTGTAGCCCAGGCTGTATTCAAATTCGAGAGAATCCTCCTGCCTCAGCCTTCCAAGTGCTGGCATTACAGGTGTGCAGCACCACACCCGGCAGGTGATTCATTTCTTGCAAGGATTTTTACAACTCCCTTTGAATGCCAGGGTCTTTATTCTGTTTTAAATTCACTGGAGAATATTACTTTAGGCCCAGAGAAAGAATTTTGTTCCCATGCCTATTAATTTGCTTTGTTTTCATCCACAGTCCTGGGAATTGAATCCAGGGCCTTCGACCTGATCTGCATCTCCAGCCCTTTTTTAGTTTTTATTTTGTGACAAGGCTTTGTAAAATTGCCCGTGCTGGGCTCAAAATTGCAGTCCTCCTGCCTCAGCTTCCTGAGTGCAGGGCTTACAGCATAAGCCACCATACCCAGCTTGATTTCCATATTTTTAAAGTTTTCTTTCTGTAAATTTATGGATTATTTTATTTTTCAAAATTTTAATGTAACCATGTATTTTCAGTCACATTTTAACTATAGTGAATATTCAGATTCACATGCTGCCCCTTGTATAAGACAGATGTTCTGAACTTTTAAAAAATGTTCATGCTGCTGTTCTGATACAAATCTCAGGCAGACAGAGCCGTTTTCTCAGTCTGGTGTCTAATCCTCACCTGTGGACTCGGGGAGACTGGCCCCAGCGCGGGGCTCATCCTGGTCAGAGCATGGCTTTCTCCCTGCAGAGCTGGAGCGAGTGGCTACACCGCTCTGAGCTCTGGGTGCCCGTGGCCCCCCGCCTCAGCTCTTTAACGGGAAGATGGGAGCCGGCCTGGAATCCCAGCCGTCTGGGAGGCTGAGGCAGGAGGACTATGATTTCAAGCACAGCCTGGGCAGCTTTGGGCGCCAGTATCTCAGAATGTAGAAAACAAAAGGGCTGGGGACATAGCTCACTGTGAAGGCCCTGGGTTCAGTCCTTAGTAGCAGAAACAAAAGGCTGGGATGGGGCTTGGAACTGTTGTCAGAGAGGGCCCATCAGGTTTGGATGAGCGGGCCCAGCACTGTGGCCAGGTGGGAAACGGTGGGAGGCGTGGGAGTCACTGGAGTCACTTCTTCGCTTGCCTGGTGACGAGAGCCGGGGGTTTGAGTTGGCTGCCTTGGGGTCCGACCTCGGTGAACCCCGTGAGGGTCTGAGGGGCAGGATGATGCTCACTTCCGGTTGGGAGTGGGCGTGAAGCTCACGCTGCCCAGCACTCACCGACTCCTATGCTGTAGGACAACAAAAGCTTCTTTGGTTTTAAGACAGGGTCTCGCTATGTAGCCCAGGCTGGCCTTGAACTCGCAGCGAGCGATCCTTCTGCCTCAGCCTTCTGGGTGCTGGGCTAACAGGCCTGTGCCACCACACCCAGTTTGCGAACCTATTTATTGACATTAAATGATCAGCTGCTTTCACAAGGGGAATGAGAGTAGCGTTCGAGCTGTGAGAAGCTCGAGGCCGGCTGGCCGGGCTTCTCGCCTGTGTCGCGCCGCCTGAGTGGGCTGCTGCCTGTCTCCGCAGATGGTACGTCACCTACGGCCACGAGCTCATCTGGAAGAACAGGGAGCCGCTCGTGAAGATGTGGCACGAGATGAGGACGCGCGGCCCCAGGAAAGGAGGCGGCTCCGAGTGAAGCCGGCGCGGTCGGCCGCTGCACCGACCCTGCTGCGGAGCCGCTGCCGCCAGCGCCAGCCCCGTCTCTGGGAGGCGGACGGTGGGAGCTGGGGAATAAAGTTCTCCGGCTCCTTTGTAAATGGCGTGGTGTGCGCCTCTCTCCAGCGCCCCCTGGCGGCGCCGCAGCCAGCCCATTGACCCTTTCGAGAAGGGGGGAGGCGAGAGGCACATGCTCAAAGCTATTTCAGGTTTTGCCTTCAGGTTAAAATTGTAGCTAGATTAAGAGGCCCTGGATGAATTCGGACTTGAACCTGAGACCAGCTGTGCCCTAGGTTTGAAGACGCACATCTTCCGGAAGTAGGCGCCAGCGCCGCGCCCTCCCCGGGGCTCTGGGAAGCTGGTTTTCCGGGTCCCGCGTGTGGGAGTCCTTAGTCTCGGCGCGGGGGTGTAGCCATCCCTGGGGCTCGTCCTTGTCGGTCGGGTCCCTGGTGAGCAGGACAGGACTGCGTCCTCCAGATGCGCCAAGCTGTCCGAGCTCTGGCGAGCGAGTGTCCCGGCCTCCGCAGCGCGGCTTCTCTGCTGGCCTCGGTTCCTCCCACTGCACCCCTCGGGGTCCCCAAATGGCCGCGGTCACTGGCCAAGCGTCATGTTGGCGGCTTCGCTTGTCCCCGACCCTGCGCTGTCGGACGGCGGCCCCTGCCCGTGGGCACTGCGCTCCAGACGGCTGCTCGTGTGCCAAGTCACGCCAGTCACTCCCTGGCATCTCCTGGGAGCCACCTGTAGCTCCTGGGTGGCCACCCGGGCCTCCTGGTGAGCTCTGCCACTCTGGCTCGGCTCGGCCCGGCCGCCGAGGCCCAGCTTCCCTCCCTCGCTGCTGCCCGGTGCCATCCCAGCTCTGCCACCTGTCTCCAAGGCCGCAGCCTCGGCCTTGAGTGAGGAAATAGAGCAGAAGCCGCTTAGCTCCAGGGTGGAGCGCCCATCCGGCAGGCGAAAGGCCCCGAGTCTGACCCCAGGCACCGCATGCATTCACTAAGGACAGTTGTGCTTTTCTGCAAGATCGAGTATTTGAGTCACCACACTTCACCTGCCAGGCTGAGCGAGCCAGGGGCCTGGTGACAGGCAGCTCGATGTGGGCTGGGGAGCCGGTGGTGGTGGGAGCGCTGGCTTGAGCCGTCGGTGTCAGCTTTCTGAGCTCCGAGGCTGCTGTCCCTGCCCTAGTTCGGTGAGCGAGAGGTCCTGGTGCCCGGGGCTCCCCCTGAGCTGCTGGGCTGGCAGCTGTGTCACTGTGCAGTCACTCTAGGCAGACGAGTGGACCCTGGCCAGCGCGGCACCGCGGTCCTCTCCGAGGTCCAGACCGGAAGGGTACTGCCAAGCACAGCCTCGAGCGTCAGACGCGGAGTTGATGCTGCCTCCAGGGTCTGCTCGGCCTGGAGGGCCCCGGGGTTGTTTCTGATACCCCGTCCTGGAACCAACTGCTCTTTAGCCTGGAAGGTGACCTGGAGAAGTAACCACGTCTGCACAGGAGGGGAGGTCTTTGGAATTAGAGCCGTTAGCACCCACCGAGAGGTCGTTTGGAGTTTATGCTTTTTTTTGGTTTTTTTGGTATCGGGGGCTCGAACTCGGGTCCTTGCACTTGCCCAACAGGCGGCAAAACTACTGAGCTAAATCCACGGCCCCCTATGCTAATTCTTAATGACGAGGTTGGTAGCTCACTGGCATAGGGAAGTAGGAAAGAAATAGCCGCTGGTTGCAACACAAGCTCTCCGGAGAGGCGGCCCCAGGCGGCCTCCTGGGGTCTGCGGGCTGAGCAGAGGCCCTGGGGACCAGCTGTGTCCAGCTGCAGGCGGAGGGCGATCAGCGCGGAGCTGTCGCCTTCTGGGCTCGGGCTCAGCGAAGCCAGATCCAATGTATGCGCTAAGAGAAGGGAACTTTGCTTTCGATTACAAAGCCTTCCTCAAGTTGGACACTTGCACCAGGAGGCCTCGTGCTCCCGGGTCCGCACCCCAGGCGGGGCGGCGCTGCGGAGGGGCGGGCGCGGGGCGGGGCCAGGGCAGCCAGAGCTCGGAGCGGAGCGGAGCGGGTGCCGGGCAGGGCAGGGCCGGGCCGGGCCGAGATGGCGTGGCCCTGCATCAGCCGCCTGTGCTGCCTGGCGCGGCGCTGGAACCAGCTGGACCGCTCCGACGTGGCGGTGCCTCTGACCCTGCACGGCTACTCGGACCTCGAGAGCGAGGAGCCGGGCCCGAGCAGCGCCCCCCCGCGCAGGGACGCGCACCCCGCGGGCTCCCGGGACGCGGCCAGGGCCTTGCCACTCACTCAGTACCAGTGCGACTTCGGGGTGCAGACGGCGCCTGCGGGACCTCGAGATGGGGGGCGCGGGCTGGGGCCGGGCGGCCGTAGGGCCAAGTCCTCCGCGCCCCCAGCGCGGGGCGTCTACGTGCTGCCCATCGGCGACGCGGACACGGCTGCTGCGGCCACCACCTCTTACAGGTATCGGGCAGGGGCAAGGGCACCCTTGGAATCCAGACCCAGAGGTGGCAGGAAACTGAGACCCGGAGCCGGGAGAATGGGGGGTGGGAGCGAGAGGGCGCCTGGAGCCCCTGGAGCCGGATCCCAATGACCTGAGAGCGGCTGATGCGCGCGGAGGGGTGCCCCTTCACTGTTCCTTGCCCGGACTGCGCACCCGCTTCACTGACGGGGAGCTCACTCCTGCGCTCAGGCTGCTCCTCTCTCCGGCAGCCTGGGGAAAGGGCTGCCTTGGCCGGAGTTGCCATCTGCTACCCCAGGCCAGCTGCGAGCTCCCTCTGCCCAGTGCCCGGCCGAGGATAGCTTTGTGGCTCCCTCCTCAGGCTGTCCAGGCTTCCTGCTTTCTCCTCTAATTACAAAAGTGATTTGTAATCACTGTAGAAAAATTGGAAATGACAGGTAACAGCATCCCCTTAGCTCTGCCCAAACTAATTCTTAATGTGCATTTCGGTACATATGCCCATACACACTGCTTCATGGTTTCTTACTGTCCACATTTTTTTCACCTGTGGATTTGATGGTGTTACTAGATGTACTTCTGCAGCATTCATTTTAATAAATGTGCACTGTTATCCTGCGGGTACCGACATCTACATGTGCATCTGCATGTCCTAATCCTGGCTACGAGGAATATTTGGGGGATCTCTGATTTGGGGCAGGTGTTTCCGTACTTCTAGGAATTTCCCTTGGGGTTCCTGGAAGGTGGGCTGGGAGCTCGGGGCTAAGGTGCATGGAAACATGTTGTCCTGATGTGTGGGGACCACCATGGGAAGGGACACCGAAGTCCTGCTTCACTAGCAACGGAAGCTCTCAGACGTGTGTGTCCAAGGGGCACAGTGCGGGACAACTTCCTTACGGTGCCCACCAGCACCTCAAGCTGCGCTGCTGACACCCGAGTGGCGCTGCTGACCCCCGAGTGGCACTGCTGGTGGCAGGGCACACTGAGCCCAGCTCTCAGCCCCTTGCTGGGGACAAGGACAGTCTGCAGACCAGGGGGCCCTTCGACAGCCCGAGGGGCCCGGTGGGGAAGGCAGAGGCCCGGGTGTGCAGCAGGCACAGCGCTGAGGCTCTAGGCACTGGCACAGGGCAGGAAGCCCTGGCCCGGAAAGAATCCCTTTCCAGTAGACAGCACCGTCCCATGCTTGCCGGGGATGTGCTGGCTAATGCGGGTACTGAGTGACATTCTGAAAGTCCCACCAGGTCCTCCGGCCATGCTGATGGCAAAGATAGGCCGCACCTGTCTCCGCTCATGTGGGCTCTGCACTTCCTGTGGATGAATTCCGAGGCCTCTTAGTTACTGCTGTCCCCTTTCTACAGGCGAGGAACCGAGGAACCAAGCCCCTGGTGCAGGGTCACCTGGCTCTGAACACCAGAGGAGTGAAGCTCAAGTCTGTCTTGCCTCCAGGATGTAATGTGTAGGCTCGCAACCTTGCTATCTGCCTCAGAATCAGTTGGGGTTGTTTTTTGTAGTGCTAGGGATTGAGCTCATGACCTTCACACTGCTACGTCCCTACCTAGCCTTTTTAAAATTTTACAGCAGGGATTTGCTAAGTAAGTTGCCCAGGCTGAGCCTGTGTTACTAGGTGTACTTCTGAGCATTAATTTTAATAAATCCCAGAGCTCCGGGATTACAGGCGTGCAGAATCCATTTACTGAACTGAGTCCTGAAGCCAGCAGTGGAAAAGGATAGGTGGGAGTGGGGACTCAGGGTAGAGCTCGCTTTCAGGTGTGCAGCCTGGCCTCAGACCCTGTCCTCTGGAGAGTGGTAAGAGCTCAGCGCTGAACTTGGTCCCCAGCACCACAGGCAGCCTCTGGGATGTTCCCCCACCTGCTCTGGGACCTGACTCCTGCAGCCCCGTCCTGCCACGCATCCCACAAGACGTCCGTCATCTAGGCCAGCAGTGGTGGTGAACCTATGGCACCTGTGCCACAGCGGGCTCTTCTGACCACTGAGAGCTCTTAACAGGTTCGCTTCGCTATCACTGATCTAGGCCAACTGCTAAAGCAGTTCAGTAAGAAATGAACAGACCCAGGGGCTCCAAAGATGCAGAGCAATGCGTGGCCACTCATGACCCAGCGTCCTTGAGTGCCAGGCAGCCCTAGGCCCTTATCTCTGCCCCCAGCAGGTCCTGTGTTGCCTGGCTTCTGGTTCCTTGTGGGACTGGCCCGGCTTCTTGGGCCAGATAGGCACAGGGGGTCCTACCCACAGCTAGCCGGGTCCCTCTGCCTAACCAGCTCCTTCGCTCCTCCCAGCTCAGGTTCTCTCTGTGCAGCCCAGCACCTCTGGCTCAGAGTCTGGCTGAGGCCCAGAAGAGGCCACAATGCTGGACTGTGCTTGGAGCACGGTGAGGGCTGGCACATGGCGGGCACAGCCAGGCTGGGCTTGAGCCCTCAGCCACCTTCCTCCTCTCCAGGGCAGTCACCAGGTCCTGGTGATTCCATCTCTCATGCCCCTTCTCAGTCCCCACTGTGGCGCCCTCTGCCTGGGCTTCTCCGCAGGTAGCTCCAGCCCTGCCTGGTACCCCCGCAGCCACCTCAGGGGCAGTGGGTTCTGGTCATGCCCAAGGGGGAGTCTGGAGACAGAAGGGCACACCCCAGGGAGGACCTGCTTCCCCCGGAAAAACAGAGCAGCAGACGGCTTGGGCAGCTGCTCTTCAGAACCCTGCAGCTTTGGAAACAGAGATTACCTGCCAGGGCCCGGGTCCAGCTCTCCTGGCACCCTGGGCCTGAGTGCTGACCACGGACAGCCACCACCCTCCCTGCCTACACCGCCTGCTTGAGAGGACCCAGCTGCACACTGTCAGTGACAAAGGGCGCCTTTGTTGGCCTCAGGGCCTGAAGCTGGGCCCTGGGGCAGCCTGGTGCACCTGCAGGCCTGCTCTGGCCAGATGGCCCTCCTCACTGGGCAGCACCGCGGCCAGGGGCCCTCGTGGTCACAGGGCTCCTCTGCTTTCCTGAGCTCACCTTACCAGGGCCGCTGACAAGAGGCCTCACTTGCTTAGAGGAATGAAATCTCACAAGACAAAGCCACTCTCGAGGACAAGGAGCCAGCTGTGCCAGCGCCATTGCTTCCCTCCAGGGGGCGGGTGTCCCACACACAGACCACCCTCCCTGTGCGGCCATGCAGGAAGCTCATAGGTCCACTCCCCACTGTGCCTGAGCCCCCAGAACCCACCCTCTTGCAGGAGTTAGTAAGACAAGTGAAAAGCCACAGTGACTATGAGCCTTACCTTTTCTTCTCACTCTACGGGACCCTCTGCTGGAGGCCTGTGGCTCACTGGCCACCCGCTGTGTGTGGAGGTGGCTGAGCGTCACTGGCTCTGGAGCCCCCTAAGCCTGGTGTCTGAGGGAGCAGCTGCAGAGTCCCAGAGAGCACGAGGCCCGAGACACAGCAGGTGCTGGTGTTTTCTAGACCAATGAAGCCCAGGTGCTGACCGAGCCCTGCCCTGAGCTCACCTGCAGCACCACAATGTCTCCCAGCTGTGCGCAGGGCAGGGCGAGCCTGAGTCCCGGTGGCACCCCCAGAGGTGAAGCGTGGGGCAGCTACAGGCTCCCTGCCAGTGTGAGGGGGCACCAGGCCATCTGGAGCCGCAGCAGGAGTACCTTGGTGGCAGCACCAGGGTGCCGAGCAGAGACCCCGCTGCTGACCCTGTGTCCGGCTCACTGTGTTCTCTGTTCCAGGCAGGAATTCCAGCCCTGGACTGGAGTGAAGCCCCCAAGACCCACAAAGGCAAAGCCAGCCAGAGTCGTCACCACCCACAGCTCTGGATGGAACAGCAGCCCAGGGACCAGCCTCCAGGTCAGTCGGAAGTGCTGCTGCAGGGCAGGGTTAGGAGCCAGATAGCAGTGGTGTGAAGTGGCACTCTGGCCAGGGACAGCAGGGCCAAACGAGTTGTCCCTGACAGCAGACCAAGGCTCTTGTCACTCCCGGGTGGGTGCCCCCCAGTGCTGGCTTCCCTGGTGAGCAGGTGCCTGCCCCATCCCAGCCAGGTGACGCTCCCGTGTGTGCAGCACTGACCCGGGGCTGCTCAGAGGCAGCGCTCATGCCAGTGTGCGAGGTCCTGGACTCAACCCCAATGAGGCACAGCCACCAAGCCACCAAAGCAGCAAGCACTGAAGGGGGAAAGGCTCGAGGGAGGCAGGCCCCCGGCTTCCTGAGCGCACCCCGGCTTCACAGTCACATCTGGCCTAATTCCTGCAGGATGTGTTCTTCCAGGGGCTGCCAGCTGGAAGCAGTCAAGAAGCCCCATTGATGTCGCCTCCATTTTGTTTTTCAGGTCCCCGAGGTGAGGAAGACGTTTACACCTAACCCCTCAGCCATCTTTCAGGCTTCCGCTCCCCGGATTCTCAACGTGTGACTGCTGGGTGGCGGGCAGCGGGGTGTGGAGCAGGCTCAGGAGCCACAGCCACGGGGGCTGAGCTGTTGTCAGGAGGGCGACACCTTGGGGCTGCCGGCCTGGTGTGGAGCAGCGGGAGGGGGACAGCACCCCAGCTCCTCGGCCTCCAGCAGCCTCAGCGTCCTTCAGTCTTCAAAGCTGAGGAGCCTGCGGATTAGTCAGCTGGGTGGAGGAATACGCGATCTGTCGGGTGGTTTCCCCAGGGTGCACGATTCTTATCAACCTTAAAGCGACAGCAATGCCAGCTTCTACTCAGGTCATCATTTGCATGTGACGCATGGAGATGCCAAGGAACCAGGACGAGGTTTCCAGAAGAAATAGCGTCAAGCGCAGGAGGCTCCGACTGGCAAGATGTTTCTCTAGCCCAGCTGACCCTCGGGTTCCCACACCTCCCCCGGGACGAACACGGTGCTGAGAATGGCTGGCCTTTACCCCACAGCAGTTTCTGTGGCTGAGCCCGTTTTATTACCAGTTTCCGCTTTGGCCCTAACATAGGGTAACAAGGGAACCACCACTGTGCCCGCCAAGGCCGGGAGCACTTCGGGGAGGTGGCCTTTGACCCACTGCGCCAGCCTCACAGTACTGGAGCCCAGCCTGCGCCCAGCGCTAGGCGGAGGCCGTGCGTCTGAGTGTCCCGTCCTCCAGGGAGGCTGCCTGCGACAAGTACGGTGCCCTCTACATAGCAGCCTCCCCACACCGGAAGGGTGTACTAAAATGCAAAAATGTACTCTCCATTTCTTTTTCTTTAAATTACAAATATGAAAGTCTTCTCACACCTTTTCTTTCATCTTGTCTCTAATGGCGACTTTACATGGTTACTGCCAGTATCCTTGGAGGCTTGGCAACCCTGGGCCCTTCTCCCTGTGCGCTGCAGCCGACAGGGTACTTACTGGAGGCGGCATCACCAAACCCATCACCTGGTCCTTTGCGTCGCAAGAGCCCGGAGGAAACGGAGTGGCACGGCTGGGCCCAGGCCCTGCTTCTCCGTCACTAGCTGGGCACAGTGGGCGCTTGCTTCGGGTGTAAACCCTTTCTCCCTGCACTCATGGCCCCTCGCCCGCACCAGAAGCCCCAGATTCTTCAGGTTCTTTTGCCACAAAGGACGCACGGGCTTTGTGCAGTCCTTGGGGATGGAGCAAGCCTGTCTTCCGGCCCCATGAGGCTCCTGGCCGGCCCGACAGGCCTGACCTCCGCCGGGCCAAGGCTCGTCAGCGCCTTTCTGCAGCACCAACACCCTGGGAGGCTCCACAACACCACCCCCTCCCCTGGGCTCACTCCAGGTCAAGGCCAGGCCTCAGGTTGTGCGAAGGGAACCAACTCACCGCCTGCTCCCACCTTGTTGGCCTCAAGCGTGCAAGACATGCGTGCCTGCGCCAGCCTGTGAGCAGGGTTAGGAGCTCCGAGATGGGGCCTCGGCTGCTTCCACGTTTTATTACACTTGCTAAACTTTTTATGTAATAAGCATTTTGTATTATTTCACTAAAGGACGTTTTTAAAAAGGAAAAGCAGTTTGATCTGTAATTTTAGCCAGAGCAAAGGGCTGCACATGACGGAACATTACTCCATAACCAAGGGACCACTGTGGCCGCACCAGCAAGCGGTGGGCAGGACGAGGTCCCCAGATACAAACCCCTCAAGGTCCTTCCACAAGTCGAGGGGCTCAAAGTCACTTACATCAAGGTCCCACCCCTGGGCTAAGGGACACAGAGATGTACGGGAGAGCAGCCCTGCAACCCCCGGCAGGAGGAGAAGCTGCCCAAGAGCTCGGTGGGCCACTCCCACAGGGGCTGACGGCGCTGTGCTGTGGCTCCTGCTCAAAACCCAGGCAGACAGCAGCCATCTCCCCACTGCAGCCCACTCGGCCTTCTCCACTGTGCCACCACGTGAAGCTGCACTCAGACTGTGCACAGCGGGTTCCTGCAAGGACCACTGCCCCTTGGCCCTTCCTCCGACAACCCTGCACTTTAAATGCCCCGTCACCACACGGCACAGTCACACATGGTGCTCAAGGACTTACAGGAGCGGCTTCCTTCAGCCCTCCACACAGACCGACTTTACCTCCCCACGAAAACCCATCTTTGTTTGGATAGCAGGAGCTGTTTCCCTCTTTGCTTTGGCTTTGAGGAAATGCTGGGCTTATTTATGCTCCAAGCTGTCAGAAAAACTTATGCCCATGGTCAACGTGTCTTCCAAAAGGCGTTTTTTCAGACTTTATGTAACTCAAGTCCTTTATCTTGCAGGGCTACAAATTCTTGCCTTGTTTTTGTTTTTTGTTTTGGTACCAGGGATTGAACTTGGGTCCTTGTGCTTGTAAGGCAGGTGCCGGAACCACTGAGCTAAATCCCCGGCCCAAGGGCTACAAATTCTTTTTGGAAAGAAGCAGAGGAATTAATTTAAAATAAATACAAATGGGCCGGGGACTTAGCTCAGTGGTTCCGCCGCCTGCCTTGCAAGTGCAAGGTCCTGATTCGATCCCTGGTACCAAAAAAATAAAAATAAAATTAAAAAAATAAATACAAATAAGAGCCTTATACCTCTGCCCCATCCCTGAGCTTTGCGACCTAATATAATAAGCAACCTCATTAGACACAATGCTTGTGACTCAAGAAAACCCATCACAAATGCTAAAAGATTTATTGTAGACCTTTTGTTACACAATACGGGAACACAGGATGCTGTTAAACCATTTAATATTTCTTTTTCAAAAAGAAAACGTCTGTAGGCTCTCATACCTGAAACAAAGGTGTCTGTCCCCTCAGCTCTCAGAGCCGCAGGGCTTCTGAAGTCCGTCCGTCTGTCCCCACTGACCACCCGGCACCCTCGAAGTGGTCAGACGCAGAGTACCTGAGCCGTAGCTGCTCAGCTAGCTCATCATCAGGCCAGGGTGCCCCCATGGCCTGCACCCCATGGTAAAGATTTCTCCTGCATTCGCAACTCTCAGATGCTGAATTAGAAAGGCAGATTTTACTCTGCACCCCACTGCTTTACTTTCCACAAACATCTATGGGGCCCATGGAAACGTGAATTACGGTGCTGCCTCTGCTCACAGGTTTCACATTCACTGAGCAGAAAAGAGCAGGTTTCTAACTGGAAGTTTTTCGCCCTCAACGCAGGCCGTGTCAGGAAGGCCAGGACCTCGTCCCCTGACAGTCTGGATACCTGCAGTGCACTGCTGCCCTCCCCCACCTGCGCCCTCCCAGAGGCAGTTTTGCTCAGGATGCCTCTGGGCAGTGGCAGCCGTCCCCATCCTGAGCAGTTCTTTCTCTGACTTTAAGGCACTCACAGGTGTTCCTCTTAAACACTTTTCCTCCTGAGGAAAAACCCAGCAAAGGAGGACAGGATTCGGGGGCTGCTGACAGGACAGATGTGGCCCAGGGGACCCACGCGTGTAAGGCGGGGCAACGCGGCCCCTGCAGCTCAGCGCACTCATGCAGAGCTGGTGTGAATTTGCCGAGGTCGGGGATGTGAGGATGCTGTCTACTCCTGATGCACTCAGGTTCCCTCAGTCGGGTCTTTTCCGGTCTCTGTCCAGGCCTGCCCATTCCTTGGCTTGGTTCCACACTGACTGCACTGTGCCCCTGTGCTCCACAGAGCAACAGTCCTGCACTCTGCAGCCTCCCGGGCCTTCGTGGGGTCCTGCAGGGCGTCACTTCTTTCCGTGTGGGCTGAGAGCAGACTGCAGACTCTCGCACCGGGGTCCCTCACTGAGTGAGAAGCCCGATTGGCTTCAGGGCAACCCCAGCCCAGGGAGGAGCAGCCTTATGCCTGACAGACCTGTCTCCTGGGGAATGAGGCCTGAGGCACCCCCTTGAGCACTCCGAGAGGAGCGCAGGACCTGGTACCCCACGGCCTGGCCCTGCTCTAAACCCTCTTCCACACCAGGAAACGAGACTTCTGCCCTAGCAGGTTTCATATGGAATGGACACTCTGGTACTACACTCAGGCAGAGGCCGCGATGCCCAAGGCACACAGAAACAAGCTCTCGGGACAGGAGAGTCACTGCAGTCACCACTTCAGACAGAGCTGGAGTCCTGCTTCTGAGGGCACTGTCCCAGTGCTCACTGATCCTCGTTCAGGATCCCCATGTGTTTGTTTGTGAGGAAATCCAGGAAGGGAATGTTGCAAATGGCCTGGTGAATGTTACTCACTGTGATTTCTTTGGGAATCCTGGTCCAAAAAACAAAGGGCGTTATCATCAGGTGTAATTCTTTCAAGTATGTCTGACAGCAATTAATTTGTCAAATTCATACTGGTTTGAATATAAAACATCGCCATGGGCAGCTACCGGCTAGGTGGCCCCTGCAGGTGCACCCCAACCAGATACCGTACCTGTTGTGAGATGCTGTCTGGTACCCGATGGCCAGAGCCTGTCTCAGGATATCGCTCACCAGCTGCTCCGTGGCCTACAACGAAGACATCGTTACTCTTACATGGCCCCTCCTTGAGGGCGAAAAGGCATGCGTCTGACCCCATCCCATGCCCAGACTTTTGAAATAACAGAAACCAAGAATCAGAATGTCCTCCGGGAAGAATTAAGGATCCCAGTAACAGACTCGAATGACAGAGGATGTGATTCTGGGAAGCTGCATTTGGGGGTAGCTTTCAGACACTGTTTCTCTCTTTTTTTTTTTTTCTTTCAGTACTGGAGACTAAACTCAGGACCTTGTGCTTGCCAGGGAGGTTCAGTGCCACTGAGCTACATCCCCAGCCCTCAGACACTGCTTCTAAGGAAAACAGAAGGCGGGGGCTGCTGTTGAAGAGCAAGCAGTAAGAAGGAGCTGCTGAGCTAGAACCAGGCTGGGACAGAGGCTGTGGCCTTGCCACCCGCTGGCCCAGGAAGGGCACAGCAGTGGCCGGTTCTCTGTCGCTGTGACACGCAGAGGACACCCATGGCTGTCTCTGCCCCTCCTAAGCAATGAGAACACCACCTCACACCCTGGGATGCTTCTTGAAAAGCACCCAAGGCCAGGCATGGTGGCACATTTCTAAAAATCCCAGCTACTCGGATGGCTGAGGCAGAAGGATCACAAGTTCTGATTTAGCCTGGGAAACTTAGCAAGACCCTGTCTCAAAATAAAACAAAAAGGGCTGGGGATGGAGCTCAGTGTAGAGCACTTGCCTAGCACATGGGAGGCCCTGGGTTCAGTCCCCAATACCACGACAAAACAACAGCTTTAGTTACATTAGCAAGAAACTCCTGAAAATACTTCAAAACTCAGAGGAAACATGACTTAGTTCATTTAAAAAGCAGAAGAAAAGAGAAAACATAAATCCTGAGTTAAGATGAGAAATATAAAAACCTGCCATCTCTGTTCCTTTTCTGTCTTTATCCTTCACTCAAAACAGCTAGTGTAGCTCAGTGGCTGAGCGCTTGCCTAGCATAATCAGGACCCTGGGTCTGACCTGCAGCCCCACAGAATGAAACAACTTCCTGCCCCCAAACCCCCAGGTTCTCCTATGACCATCCTGCCTAGTGGCCCGAGCTGCCGCTGCCAGCAGGCACGCACCTTTAGGATCATGTCCTCTACCACCGATGCGTACACGTTCCGGTGCAGCGCCACAGGCTGCAGGGTGATCCCGATCTGGCAGAGAAGAAAGTCACTGTTCCGTTTCCACATCTGAAGCAGCCTACTTCCAGAAGGCAGACTCTGCCACCTACACAGCAGTGTGGTGGGGAAGGGCTCCCCATTCTGCGCCAGTCTCCCCTCTCATGGGGTGTGCCGTGTTCTCACAGCGGGGTCACACTCTGAAAGTGCTAGAATCACACCGGAGGGCTCTTCTGGCATGAGGTAAAGTAGTAGTTGGAAACTGCGCCCTATCTTTCCTCTCGTACTGTGAGAGCAAACAGTGCCGTTCCCTTTGGTCCCGAGCCACAGGCAGCGATGCTACCAAGCCGCTGAGTTTCACATGGGGAGGATGAACGCCTCTCCCTGTATAATAAGGGTGGGGTGGGGCTGTGTCTATACCACCAGCAGGCCCTCAGAAGCCACAAAACTGTCGGGGAAAGATTACCCGCTGAAGCATAACTTGGAAATATTGTGACACGCTTCGGAAGGGAAAGGGCTTCTGAGGCAAACAGAGAAAGGGCATGGGAAGGAGTAAACTGCTCGTGTTCAGGCGTCTTTGCCTGCAGCTGGTGAGGCCCCACCTGGGAGGACAGGAGCGCAGAGAGCACACCTGGCTGCCGAGGAAGGAAATCACACGCTGCCATCAGCAGCAAAGTTTGTGTAAATGGAGTCAAAGGGCTGCGAGGCCAGCACTGGACTGATTTGCCGCCCCAGGCCAAGTCCACTCCCTACCTTCTGTGTGATGTCACCGATGAACTCAGAGCCGGGAGTTGGTGGCAGGTACAATTTCATTTCTTCCTGTTTCTCTTCCTGCTCCTTTTTGATGTTTATCTTTAGTGGTTCCGAGAGGCTCAGGATGTCCACCTCCTCCTCATTCTCCGGTTCTCTTTTCTGAAACTGCTGCAGGTCCTCTAGTTTCCGGCAGAGGCTGTCCGCGGAGGAGAAGGATGACGGGCACTCTAAATGAGAGGTGACCAGTCCTGTCACAGCCGTGCCACACACGGAGAGCACTCTCGACTCAGACCCACAGCCCCAGGGAGGTGGCCATGTCTCAAGGGAGCCGACTTCCTTCCCACTCCTGAAGTTCTGCGTGTCCACCCTGAAGAGATCGAGCACTTCCACGGGAGGAAAGTACACACACAGCCACCCACACAAGCGCCATCAAAGCCCACGCAGACAGCCCCCAATTCTGACTTCCGCCACAAAAACCAGGCCAGTCCTCCACCCTAGGCATTAATGACCAAATTTTTTTCATCTTTTAAACATGGAAAATTTAGAATGCCCAGTGCAGAGCACAGAAATCACCATCACCACGTCCTCACCATTCAAGAGTAACACTGTTGGTGTTTCAGTGCACGCCGTCTTTCATGGGGATTTAGATAAAGCCCAGCAGGGCATGAGGCCAATTCCACCACACCTCCTTCACTTTCCAGACGGTCCCAGTGAGTCCGAAATGGGATCCCATACCTAGTGAGGTGACACCAGGGCATCCGGCTCTGGCCTTCTGTTTTACTGACTAGGGTCTAACTCATGAGGCAGGCACCTCAACAGAAAGCCTAGCGTATGTAGCATACTGCGCCCAGCAAACAACAGTGGCGCACAGAGGTCACCAATATGGTCTCTGCCTGGCCAGGAGCTTAGATCTAGAAGCCAGAGAAGGCTTCTCGGAACTGAGAGCAGCAGGGGATGAGAAGAGGGAAAGGTCACCCTGCACAGGGCTCCCAGGAAGCTGCATGGGGAAGGGGCCCTACAGAGTCCAGGAAGGACCCTGCCCATGCTTCCTGTTCCCTTAGACTGGGAGGCGGAGCTTCTGTCCTCTATGTGAACAGGGCAGGACCCTTCCTCTCTTTTCTTTTCTTGTGCTGGTGCTAGGAATTGCAGCAGGGACTCTGGCCTGTGAGGCAAGTGCTCGCCACTGAGCTGCACTCCAGCCCACCACCCCTTTTTGGAGATAGGCTCTCTGGTTGCCCAGGCTGGCCTCGAACTTGCAATCCTCTTGCCTCAGCCTCCTGACTCCAGGCATATTTCATAATCTTGAAGGAAAAACTCAAAATGCTTCTTCTCCCCAAACACTTAATTTTTGTTTGCCTCCAACACCAGGTAGTGTGCTTCCCAGCTAGGTGTGGAGAAAGTAACAGATAAGACACAGGCCCCATCTTCAGGGAAACAGGACAGACTTGTCAATTGGGGGTTCCCAAGGTCACAAAGGAAGGGGACGTCACTTCATTCTGGAGGAAAACGACACTGGAGAAGCGCTCCTGAACACAGGCACCTGCTGGGCAGCTCCAGCCGACCGTCCCCAGCTCTGGCGACACATATGAAACACTTGGGTACAAGGAGCTCCGCAGGGCTGTGTGTGTGTGTGTGGGGGGTACAGCATGAGTTAGCCAAGGCCCTTGTCCTCCACGCCAACACCTGCCAGGCACCCGGGACCCTCGGACGCTGCTGCTCACCTGGCTCACTGTCGATCTGGGTCAGCACATCCTCGATGGAGTCCCCCTGGCTCCTCAGGCTCTCGGGGTCTGGGGGCGTGTAGCCATGGCAGCGGCACCAGTGTGCGATGTGCTTGGTCTTAAGGGGAGTCAGGTGGTGAAATCTTGTATTCTTCTCCAGTATTTCTTGTAAGACTTTTCTCATTGTCATTGCTCTTTGCCACTTAAAAAAAATTTTTTTGGAACTATAATTAAATTGTTCAGCTTAACAGGTGAGTGTTCAAATGAATCATGCCACTGAAAATCACTACATTAACTTGTTACAGTCATTCTCGTCGAAGGAAAAAACTGTACTGTGCTACTCTCCAGAGTGAAAAATAAAAAAAAGAATTTCTACTGCCTCCCTAAAGCTTAAAAAACAAAACAGAAACTCTGAGGTCTGGCATCCAAGCTTCCCACCTGGGCTCCCGTCATTCCCCCACCCCAACCACACTGCCTCCCAGACGCCTCTCTGCACAACCAGCTTCCTTTTTCTAAAAAACTTTGTGGTGCTGGAGATTGAACCAAGGGCCTCAGCTGCCAGGCAAGCACTATGCTCCTGCGCTATATTCGCAGCCCTTCCCCCCGCCCTTTTTTTTTTTGGTACCGGGGATCAAACCTGGGACCTTGAGCTTGTGCAGCAGGCGGTGGAACCACTGAGCTAAATCCCCGGCCCCCTTTCCCACTTCTTGTAATGCTACTGCCTCTGCCACACTGTAAATACCCAATAAATACTTTAATTTGTGTACTACTTTAAGAACTTTTAGAAAATATGAAAGCTGTGTCTACCAGGGCAGGGAAAGTCAGCCTTTCAAAGGCTAGCTGTAGGTCTTTGAGGGGTAGAGCTTTGCTAACTGCCATCAAATACTCTAAGGGAACACACTGTAAATCTGATTGCTGTTCCACAACAGCCTGAACGAACAGTGTTCCAGCTCCTCTCTCCTGCATGCTGTCAGCAGTGGCCTACATATCGGAAAGGCAGGGGAGCCCTTACCTCCGCGGCTCGCCTTTTCCCAATGTTCCAGCCATAATACTGCTCCACAGACTTGGCGGAGAAACAGCTGGCATCTTCACCTAGAACACACAAACCCCACACACCAAGTCAGCTGTTAGGGTTCAGACCAAATTTCATTTCCTGGGGGCATGGCTGAGTTTCTTCAGACTGCTTTATTGGGTCTATGTTCACAACTAGGCCAGTTCAAGTGCAGCATAACATGGGAAGGCTTCTCCCTACGGGCACTGTATTCCTGTGTGTTCTAAGCAATACTATCCCTGGGAAACGAGCTCTTCTGGCACAATCTACTGCCACAAAATTATCCCTCCCACCCCCTAGTACTGGGGATTGAACCCAGGGAAGCTCTACCACTGATCTACATTCTAGCCCTTTTTATATTATGAGATGAGAGTCTTACCAAGTTGCCCAGGCTGGCCTTGAACTTATAATCCTCCTGAGGAGCTGAGATTATAGGTATGAGCCATCCTGCCTGGCTCACGATATTAAATAAAAGCAAATGGCACTCTAGTAGGAGCCCTGGCCTTATCATTAACTCACGAAGTGGCCCTGGGCCCTAAGGTACCTCTCTGGGCCTCAGTTCTTCGTGGGAGGTCCTCACTATGTTGCTCAGGCTGAACTCGCACTTCTCCCATCTGCCTCATCAGCCTCGCAAGTAGCTAGGATTATAAAGTGTGTGCCACTGTGCCCTGTGTTTTTTTTGTGTGTTACTAGGGATTGCACCAGGGCTTCATGCATATGAGGCAGGCACCCTACCAATGTGCTACGTCCCCATCCCTTCCATGTCTACTATTTTGGATTTGTATCTAAATTATGAAAAAAACAGATTTCTGAATAATTTTTGTTGGGCTAGGAAACTGACACTGAAAGTTTATTTTGAGCACTTCAAAAACAATCCCTCAAACTTACAAAAAAAGAGTTAACTTGTTTGTTGTTCCAGTTGAAAGAGAACCAAGGTATTCTGAACCTGCCTATAGCTTCAGTTTTCCCACGACCTAAGCGGAAGGACAGTGTGCTCTGCTCTGCGCCTTCCCGCTAAGTGCTCGGGTGCTTCCTGCCCACAGGAGGGCTGTCCGTGCCGTCACAGCTGGGGTGAAGACAGAACCACACAACATGGGCAGGAATGCAACAGACTGCTTTTGAGAGTCCTGCAAACTGTGCCTTTCCGCAGCAAGAACTGAGTTCCAGAGGGAGATTAGTGGTCTGACAGCCACAAAGGGTCTTTATCCTGCCTCCCCACCCAGCTGTGTGAACCTCAGCAAGTTCCTTAACCTCGCTGACCTGTCTTCTCATCTGTGAAATGGAGGTGACCATTACACCAGGGCCTGCAGCTAATAGTGTATTACACAGAACCTGTACACCAAGGCATTACTTTCCTTACTAATAAACAGTAAAGCTAATGCAGTTTTAATTACATATATAACAATTTATGGTCTACACGCAAAAGTAAATGTAAAAAGTTCCTTCAACATCAAGAAGTGAAAATAAAGACTGATCAAAATACTGTGAATTCTAAAACCTCTGAAATGAGCTATCTCTAGCTAAGTCCTCCTAAGATAATAACCACACCAGTATTAATTTACAATTCCAAGTGACTTAAGCTGACTCAATACTCCAAGCTGTTCACAGCTTTAAAAAAAATCCATATATTCAGTACAACTGTCTTACTTTTTGCAGTGATTAATGGAATCTTCTTTACCACTGCTGTTAGAAGTTGCTGGGAAGTCTCCAAATGGTCTGTCCTGGGAAGGGGGACAACAAGGCAGTGAGTAGGGAAGTCGTCTAGAGACACACAGACACACACACACACAGACACACACGCACAGTTACACGCACAGTCCCACCTTCCGTAGGTATCACAATAAAACCATTACATGTGCGTGTCTTCCCTGCTACAGACAGCCTTTGTAAAGGAATAGCGCTCCATGCTTCAACAGAAAATGTCAAGTATAAATAAACAGGGAGTGGAGGTGGAGGGGAAATAAGAATTAAGAAGTGTGTGCCAGGGATTTAGCTCAGTGGTTCCACCACCTGCCTCACAACTGGAAGGACCCAAGTTCAATCCCCGGTACAAAAAAAACAAAACATAAGAAGTACGATGCACACGCACCAACTCCCCACAATCATCATGTCCTGCAAATATGTACTGATAAAAACAAAAATTTTAAAAAGGAAAAAAAGAGTAAACAGATCTTGGCAAATTTCACAAATATCACAGATGTTTTATCTGCATTTTAAAATTAAATAGCAATATAATCTTTTTCAAGGTGACTGCCCCTGGATCAGAGAAGTTGTACCATATAACGGCTGTTTCAGGGCTGCTAGCCCTGAATGTCTCCACGCTAACATCAGTTACGCTGACTGGTTATGTCTATCTTCTGCACAAGGCTGAGACTCTTCTGGTCAGGGCTGGCCCCCACAGGGACTTTGGGAAGCACTTCTAGAAGCAGCAACGCCTGTGCATGGCTCACGAAGAGGCAGCTGTGTAAGAGCAGGCAAGCATGTGGATGCCCCTTACAAAACACGAGCACACCGAGGGATTCCTTGGGAGAAACTCCATCCCCACCACTTCCTTCCACAGAGAGAGGACAGAAAGAGCAGTAGTAGCTTGCCCAACAGGAACCCTGTAACCCTACCAGAAGCCCCTAGGGCTAGCTAAAATCAAAGGCCACCCCTAAGTTCATCGCTGCATAAAATAAGGACTCCAAGCTGTGCAGGGCTCATTCCACACGCTCAGTGGTCACAGGCATGACTGAAAGATCGCCATCAAAACGCCCAAAGCAGGACTCCCTCAGGAAGGACTGGAATAATTACTTAATGACATAGTTTCCCAGCTCAGAACTTTCTTCTGTTTTCACCGCTGTCTGGGCCTCCTTTGAGAGGCAGCTTGGCGCGGGGGTTTCTGGTTCAGTCTTCACTACAAGGGAGGAACACAGAGAGAGGAGCTGTCAGGGCTGGTGCCCACGGAGCTCCTCCAGCTGCTGTGGGGAAACAGCCAGGCACCAGAGGGCTTCTGTCACCACAAGGTCAGCACACAAGGGAGGAACAGATCTGGGAAGAACAGCTTCAGGCACACGACAAGGCGAGGACAATAAAATGGATGTTTAGATACTTCTTCAAGGGCCGCCCCATGCTGTGGAGACCTGCTGCCCACCACAGCACCACACTAAACTGCCGTGCCAGCTGTTCTGCTATTATAGCCTCTTCAATCCCATCCCCCAGCTAAGTTTACTGACTTTCAGCATCACCCCCATGCTCTGAAACACAGACGGCAAAAATCAGATCTGTTGTGCCTAGAAACTGACAAGCTAATCACATCAGGTTTTTAATATTACGGGTTGAGCGTCTTTCATCTGAATATCCTCATTTTCCAAAGTTGAAAACTTTCTGAGCACAGATGTCCCAAGTGAAAAATTCCACACCATGAAACTTTGTTTCATGTACAAAATTTAAAATACTGCATAAAATTACCTTCAATGCGTATATGAAACAAAATACCTTTCATGTTTAGACTTGAGTTCAATCCCCAAGATATTTATGTGTATGCAAATACTATGTTTCAGAGTCTGAACAATGTCTGAAATCTGACCCAAGCATTTGCAATAAAGGGTGCACGACCTTGACTACATCTACTGATGAGAAGACAGCAATGTGTCAGGTCCAGGGGCTGCTGTGCTCTCCTAGCACTCCTGGGTCAGAAGCCACGGCTGCACACTGCTCAGCACCGGCTCCAGCTCCATGCCCTGCCCTGACAATCCACCATGCACATCGGCGCCAAATAACCTCTTTGGTGCCATGACAATATTCTTGTATTTTCTTCTGAGCTTTCTCTTTTCTTTTTTTTTTTTTTTTGGTACCAGGGACCGAACTCGGGTCCTTGTGCTTGCAAGGCAGGCAGCAGAACCACTGAGCTAAATCCCCAGCCCTAAACTTTCTTTTTTAACCTTTCACATTCAGGTCTATGATCCAACTTAAGTTATTTTTGTTTATGACATAGGGTAAAGATAAGGTTCCTGTTTTCCCAAATGGATATATCCACTTATTCCAGTTCTGTTTACTGAAAAGACCATCCTTTCCATACTGATTCTGTCATAAATCAGGTTACCATATATATGTGGTTTTATATGCTGCTTTATTAATCTGCCTATTCTTGAGCCAATTTTAGTTTATTTCAAGTGCTACAGATGTATAATATATGTATAGGTTTGGTATAATTTTCCTGCTTTTTTCTTCAAGACTGTCTTGGGTATTTTAGGTATGTATGTATTTATTTATTTATTTTGGTTTTTTGAGACAGGATCTTGCTATGTAGTTCAGGCTAGCTTTGAACTCACTACCCAGCCCAGGCTGCCTCAAACTTGCAGGGTGATCTTCCTGCCTCAGCCTCCAAGTGTTGAGATTATAGGGGTATGCCACAATGGCCGGCAATCTATTTTCATACACATTTTAGACTACTCAATTTCTACACATAAATACCGCCATGCACCCTACTATCACTACCAATATTATAGGGATTACGGTTAAGACAACTGAATCCATGTCATTTTTTTTTTGGAGAACTGATAATATTCAAATCTTTCAATAAAGTATGATATATCCATGTTATTTAAATCCTTTAAATTTCTCTCAGAAACGTTTAGCTGACTGTTTTTAGTAGACTGTCCCAGCTTTCCTTATTTTTGTTAACTGATCTTTGGTGCTACTGTAAATGTTTTCTTTCGATTTCATTATCTAATTGTTGTAGCTAATAGATAAAAATTCAAATCATTTTCCTATCTATATTGACTTAAGTGATTCTTGCTAGTTTCCCTGCTAGAAGTGCGTATTCCCCTTACTCCTAGTAATTCTGGACTGCTCAGGAAGGTCAGGAAGGTCGCCCTGCCAGGTTGCCACGCCTGGTCCCTATTTTTGTCACACCTGTGCTCTCCCGGTGAGTCCCTAACTGGTCCACCTCTCCAAACAAGCCCTCTGAGTCTCTGCCTCTACTGCTCCCCCAACCTGCCAGGCCCCTTGACCTCTCCACAGGAAGAAGATCCACTTTGGTCAAGTTTGGCATAAAATCCACACCCATACAAAGTCCTGCCCCCGCTACACCTGACAACCTCAATCAGGCATCCTAGACTGCAGTACCTCAGCAATCATTTTCCACACCACTTACCTTGCATTTATCAATCACTGCTGTTGTTTACTGCAATTCTCTTCAACCTGATTATACATTTTCGGAAGACAATAATCATTCTGTATTTCTCTCAATTTCTAGATAAGCAGTCAGTACCTATTTGTCAAGTGACTGACTCACAGATGGTGAAAATTCAAAAAACTAAGATTATACTCAGACCTGCATAAAACTTTGGGACAAAAACACTGTGAGATCCCATGTACCTTTTGTAACATTTGCTGGAGCAGAGCTGGGGACAGCTGGAGCTGGGGCAGCCACAGGCAGAATGGGAGGTGATTTGCTGGTAGAAAATGACTGAACCACTAAAGGGCAAGAAAGGAGGAGAAAACAGAGACAGAAACTGTTTTGAATGAGATGTCCTAACACCTACATGGCAACCCCATATTTTCACAAACAGAACAATCTCAGGCCAACAGGAATAGTGAAGGTCATTTTTTGATATACAGAAGCCTGGCTGTTTATTATTAATACCAGAGTAACTGAGCTCTATCCTCAACTGTGAGAGTGCAGGCTTCTCAGTAAACTAAGAAAATAAAAAGCCAATAAATTTCAACTCTCACAAATGCTGAAAATGTTCCCCCTTGACTCAACTTCAGAAATAAGCCACTATTTAGAAACCAACAGGTTGTGCTTTTAGCCCCAGAGTGGGTGCTCTATGGTCCAAGGTACCAGGGCTGGGCCTCAGGAGCAAAGGACAGGCTGTGCAAGGCAAGGGCCGGCAGCAGCCGGTGGAACACAAACTTCTCCCAAGACCGAGCCCATGGCAGCCCAAGGGCAGGGGACGCACCTTTATTCACAGGCATCAGTATCGTCTGTAACCCTCCCGAGGTGTTCATGCTGAGAGGCTTGAGCTGGCTGGGAATTGTCAGAACAGCCTGCTGTGGATTGGACTGACTGGAGTGAATCTTTAACAATCCTACAGTAAATGGGAAGATAAAGCCAATGTAAAGACAGATGGTTTCTTTACATTCCCTGTCCTCTCTGCCACTTGTATTTTCTCCCAGGAGGAAGTTCCGGGACATTCACCCTTTCAGTAAATAAAGAATCAGAAACAGGAGGCCACAGGCACTGCAGACTTCACAATGAAACAGTGATGTGACAGGAATTTATCTATCTATCTATCTATCTATCTATCTATCTATCTATCTATCTATTATTATTTTTTGGTACCAGGGATCAAACTCAGGACCTTTCGCTTGCGAGGCAGGCAGTGGAACCACGGAACTAAATCCCCGGCCCAGGAATGATTTATTTTTAAACTGTCCCTGTCCTACAATCATAAAGTAATACAGAAAATTTCACAAACAGGTCGAACATAAAGGACAAAAAAACCCACCTGAAATCCTACTGCAGAGATGATAAGTATTAACATTCTCAGATAATTCTCCATGTTTATTTTCTATGACAGTTTGTTTTGTGTATAGCTGTGATGTATACTTACGGAATATAAAACTTTGTATTTTCACGTAGAAACTCTACTATTTAAAAACCTACCCTGGCTCCCAATTTCCTAAAGAATACTTTCAAAATTAGCTTCAAATCATTCAAGGTCCATTTTAATATGGATCCTACACATGTACATACTTCAGCCCATCTACAGTCATTAGTTTACATTTCCCATTTCTGGGCATCTCTTACTTTTCAAACATTAGATGTTCTCTATCATTCTAGAGAGGGTCATCCTCTCTCACTTTACAGTAAAGGTAATTTCCATCACTCAGTTAATTATCTTGCTGACTACAGACTTCTACACCAGAAGAAATTTTCCCCTAAAATTTTGAAAAGTGGTATTCCTACTTCCAGCATTGTTACTGAGAAGCTCGGTGATACTGTAACGCAATTTCTAAAATTTTCTTTTTCTCTTCCAAGGTCTTCTCTTTATTCCCGGTGTTTTGATTTCTTAAATTGTGCCTGGGTGTGGGCCATCTTTCCTTAACTGTGCTACACACTGCACCCTTTGAATCTCCAAGTTCCTGCCCTTCAATCCTGGGGGAAATGCCTGTTTCACGTAGGGATCATTTCCCTCTCACTATTTTCTTTCTGGAAAACTCCTTTGAGTCTAGCTGGAGCTCCCTGACGTCACCGAATGTTCCTACTCAGCTTCCACTTCCTGCGCCTCTAGCTCACTCTCAGCGCAGAGGGTCCTTTCGGAAGGGGAAGCAGACCTCTGCCCCTCCTGCAGCCTTGCCCCAGCTCCCTGCCGTGGCCTCCCAGGCCCTGGGATCTGACTTCATCTCTTGGCATTTACTCCCTTGAGGAATCCGCTCCAGTTCTGATGGTGACTTTGTTTTGAGCAGTTCAAAGCACACACATGGGGGCCAGGGATTTAAGCTCAGCGGCACCACCCCTGCCTCCCAAGCGCAAGGTCCTGAGTTCAATCCCCGGTACCAGGGGGAGAAAAGCACACACACAAGTTTAATTAAAAAACTGCTGGTTGTCTATAGGAAATAGTTTTGTCCTTCTTGAAAATGTTATACAGAAAGTTTATCAGCAACGTCTTGTAAGAGTAGAACTTCGAGCAGGAAATGGGAGCGGGGAGGCCATTCATTACTTAGGATAATCATTGCTTATATTTCCAATTCTACTCTGCTGCCTGACACAGGGCCTCCAACAAACATTGTCAGTATAGAACATGCACACTAACTACAACTTGGCCAGTTTTAACTGGGAGGTGAGAATTTTGGAAAAATTTATTCTTTTCTCTATCCAAAAAGTGGGTAAGGCATGGGCTTGCTATGCAGCCACATTCAGAATAACATCTATAACCTCTTATCCAAAGACAGGAAGGCGTGTGTGCACATGAGCGAAACGCTTTCTGTACACCAGTGCCAGCCAGTAAACTGGTCATTACTAATTTATAACAAGATTTAAAACAGAAATTAAGATTCTTTAGAAGCTTTTGTAACAGTTTGACACTGCTGTGACAATTATGAAAAATATAACCTTTGGTTTTCAGAGCTCCTCAGATTTTAACACAAAATAAGGGATTACAGACTAAAAACAAAAGCAGCGACAGTGATGATGATGGCAGCAGCTTTCTACAATCACTACTATAAACCAGATGATGTTCTATACAGGTACCCGACTCAGGCAATCCCCCTGATTTCATGAGGTAGGTATTATCGACCTCCTTTCTCCAGGTGAGAGCTAAAGTGAGCTACATTAACTAAGGCCTCAGAATTTGTCTCTATGTTACTCAAAGTAAAAGCTACTTTTTTGGGGGCCACTTAGTATAGGCAAAGATATCATAAGAATTTATGAGAGCAAAATGTATGCTGTTTTGTAATGAGTTTCATTCAAAATTAATCACTAATTTAAAAAAAACACGGTTCTTTAAAGAGAATAAGCTCTCAACTCTCCGTAAAATTACATTATGAAAACAATAAAATTCCCAGTAGGGTTCCAGGTGGCTATGGTTTTATTGTATCATTTTAAGATTATTATTCAAACTAGAAGTGAAAATTTTTTATACTTTCTGTGGTATTGGGGACTAAACTCAGGGGCACTCCACCACTGAGCTACATACATCTCCAGCCCTTTTTACTTTTTGAGACAGGGTCTTGCTTAGGCTGCCCAAGCTGGCCTTGAACCTGCGATTCTCCTGCTTCCCAAGGAGCCGGGATCACAGGCATGTGCCACCAAGACCAGCTCTGGGTTAATTGTTTTTTAATAGCTTATTAAATTAAGATCTTTCAAAAAGATTCTAGCCCAAAAAGAGAAACAGAAAGAGATGCAACTGACCTGAGACCGTGGCCTTCCCAGAGACAGGGTTCGGGGTGGATACCAGGGAAGCTGTGCTGACTACAGCGGGAGCCGCGGCTTTGCAGGTTCCCACGGTGGCCTGGCTCACACACACTTGCGTGTGCCCGGCAGTTTTCATCACAGAACCGACAGCAGATGAAGAGCCGGGGACTGTCCCTTCAGACTGCTCAGCCACAGGCCGGGATGAGGGAACAAAGAAGGGAACAGCGTAACTTACTTAGAGCAGTGCCTGTCTACCCGATAAACATTATGCCACTTAAAAAGGGATGGGTTCTCTAGCCAGTGGTTCCCATAATTTCAGATTTCATGGACCAGATGAGTTGGAGTATTGTAGGGTTACCACATGAAGAAAAATTCACCACTTACTGTATCACTTTATAAAAGGCTATTTCACCATTTTTTCTCAGAAAAAAATTTTTTTTACATGAAATAAAAATCAGACTTACGAAAAATTCACTGCAATGTTTTAAAGTCTATCACTTCATTCAAGAGACATCTACATGGCTACACTGTGTTAAATGCTAAATGCAAGGGCTCAGAGGTAAAAGCCATCAAGGAGGAAGGAGAGGGTCACTGAGTATGATCAGTGCCACAGCAGCCACAGGTGTGTATGTGGCCCCCACACACAAGACAGGGATGCTGCTGCTTCTGCCTAGGGATGCAGAGGTAAGGTATGGAAAAGCGTCAGGTAAGATAAATGGCACTGTGAAGGACCCTGCAAGAGTCAAGTCAGAAGAAAGGAGAGAAAGAGCATTTCCTGGCAGAACAGAACATACAGAAAGTCCGACATGGAAGAACATGGCAGGCTAAATAACTGCAAAGCAGAGTAGCACAGCTAGTAAGCAGATGGGTGAGTAGAAGCTATGTGAGAAGAAGCCTGAGAAGTAAATGGTCAGATCATAGACGTCTTTGGGGTTCCCAGACAATTCAGAGGGACAGTCCTTTCAGAAAAATGTCTTGGTTCTGCTGGGTATTTACACACAGAAGAATGAAACTTGGTTGCCACCTCATACCATACAGAAAGTCAACTCAAATGGATTAAAGACCTAAATGAGACTCAACCACAGGCTTAAATTCTGTGATCTTTTATCTTTTTGGGGGGTGGTACTGAGGATTGAACCCAGGGCCTCTTCTCTGTATCACAGCTCTTTTTAAAATTTTTATTATTATTATTAATATTATTATTATTTGGTTTGAGACAACGTCTTGCTATGTATCACAGGCTGGTACTGAACTCACTATGTAGCCTGTAGAAGACATGCCTGCCAGTACTGGGGGGCTATGAGTGGCTCCTGCTTCTTGCTTTCCCTATTTTGGCTATACTTTTTGTATCAGGAGTCAGACCAAAGCTCTATGTGACTCAAATGGACATGTCAGTTAGCAGAGTTGGGCTAGTATTGCTTCTTTGCTAATGGCTGTCACCAAGGCCTAAGCCCTGGTCTGTGAAGTGGCAGGGCTCTGCTGAGTTACGTGCGGCTGAGGCCAGCGTGACCCCAATTAAAACCCTTTCCCCTGAACTATGGCTTCTCACTGACCCGATGGGTTGCTTCCTGATTGCACCTGGTCCCAGTACCGGTTTGTTCCATCCAAGCAAGAGAAGCAGTGCCGACTCCCTGACAGCCCTGCCTGGCGCCATCAGGCCAGGTGCTCGGCAGTATCTCACAGATGCATTCAGGGCACACCCTGCTCCCTAGTCCTTCCCACCACTGTCCTCAATAAACCCTGGATGCACTTGAGGGCCTTTGTCTTTGCTGCCATCAGCAGCACTGACCAGGTCCCAAGACCCAGCCTCATCACTCTAAGTCTCCTTTCCTGTCTGTTCTTTAATTCACCTTGTGCTGTGGTGGCTTGAAGGCCAGGACCCATGGCAGAGGTCCTGATAATGTCCCCTTCCCCGTTCCCTACAGTACCCCAGGCAGGCCTTGAACTCAAGTGATCCTCCTGCCTCACCTGGCTGAATGCTGGGATTACAGGCACGCGCAACCATGCCTGGTTCTTTTTTTTAAATTTTGAGACAAGGTCTAAGTCACTAAGTTGCTCAGGGCTCAAACTTGCAATCCTGCCTCAGCCTCCCACAGTGTAAGCCACAATGCTTGGCAAAATTTGTAGTTCAGAACATAACAAGAAAGTGAAAAGGTAATTCAGAGTGGGAGGAAAGTTTTGCAAATCTGGGAAGAGACCTGCAACATGAATGCAGGACACATCCAGTGGTACATCCCTGTAATCTCAGCTACTTGGGAGGCTGAGGCAGGATTATGAGTTCAAGGTCAGCCTGGACAACTTAGCAAGAGCCTGTCTCATAATAAATATTTAAAAAGCTCTTGGGCCGGGGATTTAGCTCAGTGGTGCCGCTGCCTGCCTCGCAAGCGCAAGGACCCGAGTTCAATCCCTGGTACCAAAAAAAAAAAAGCTCTGGAGATGTAGCTCAGCAATAGCTTACACATACAAGCATGAGGCTCAGGGTTCAATATCCTGGACTGCCAAAAAAAAAAAATCTACCTACTCATCCATCCATCCATCCATCATACTCCTACAGTTTAATCATAAAAAGACAAGCCAAGTAAAACACAGGCAAAGGATCTAGATAATTTTTCCAAAAATATATAAATGTCCAGTAGATACATGAAGAGAGGCTCAGTATCATTATCAATCAGGGAATTTAAAATCAAAACAATGGAATACCTCTCACTCCTACCAAGATGCTAATTATTAAGGCAAAAAAGGCAAGAACAAGTATCAACAAGATGTGGAGAGGTGGGCGAGGTGGCACACGCCTGTAATCCCAGCACTGAGGAGGCTGAGGCAGGAATATTGCCACAAGTTTGAGGCCAGCCTGAGCTACACAGTGAGTTCAAGGTCAGTCTGAACTGCATAGCGAGACCCTGTCTCAACCCTGCCCCCGCAAATGTGGAGAAACTGGAGCCCTCATTTATTGCTGGTGGGAATACAAAATGGTACAGGTGCTTGGGAAACAGCCAGTTCTTCAAAAAGTTAGACATGAGTTATTGTACGGGCCAGCAATTCTATTCCTAGCTACACAGACAAGAAAATGAAAATAGTATGTTTATACAAGAACTTGTACATAAATGTTCAGAGGTCAAAAAATAGAAAACAATCCAAATGTCTACTAACTGATAAATGGATAAACAAAATGCGGTATTACTCATAAAACTGAGTATTACTCAGCTATGAAAAGGAATGAAGTACTGATACACTACGAAATGGATGAGCCTTGCAAGTGTTACACTGCACAAAAGAAGCCACTCAAAAGCCCACACGGACTGTGTTTGTGATGGGCAAATGCAGAAAGAACAGTCAGGGGTTGCTCAGGGTTGCTGGAGGGACTGGGAAGTGAATGCTACTAAGTATGGGTTTCTTTGGGGATAATAAAACCTGTTCTCAGATTAGATGATCAGCTTGCGAATACAATAGACACCACTGAAGTCTGTAACATAAAGAGGTAAATTTTACGTCATGTAAATTATAATTCAATTTCTAATTTATTCACCCCATATTTAATTTTTCATTCATTCAGAGACAGGGTCTTGGTACGTAGCCCAGATTGGCCTCAAACTCACAACCCCCCACTGTAGCTTATAGAGGGCTAAGATTACAGAATTGTGCCACGATATGTGACCATTTGAATTTTTTTTTAAAAAGCAGTATTTCAGGCCGGGGATTTAGCTCAGTGGTTTTGCTGCCTGCTGCTCAAGCGCAAGGACCAGAGTTTGATCCCCAATACCGAAAAAAAAAAAAGCAGCATTTCAATCCTTGAAAAATGCACACTGGTGCAGCTGCTGGGTATCTGCCTCAGGCTCCTCCTACCCTTGGGTTTTATCGAGACTCCCCCACCACATGGGTTCTCACCTGCTGTGCAGGCCCGTTTGCTGAGAGGGCCACGGCGGGGGGAGCAGCAGCTGTGATGACCCCTCCTGCTACCCGAAGCATGGTGGTCCCAGGCTTTGAGAGTTGCGAGGTGGCCGGCACAGACTTCAAGGTGCTATCAGCTATTTTCATTATCGAAGCTTGTCCCCCGGGGGCTGCCTGCAGACACAGAACGGGCAGAAGTAATGGAGGTGCCCAGGTTAAGAGGCCCTCTTTATTCCGTACCTACATTTGAGAACTCAGCCAAGGAAGTCTTGCTAATCAAGACCGTAGGAGGTGCTTATGCACTTTTCCTCAAGCCTAAATTTTATGATCTTTGACCTATAAAGTTCCCTTACACTAATTCAGAACAAGTAAATGAACTAATTTCCAAATTACTATTTGCTAAGTATATAATCCACTTATTAATGTTCCACAGGCACTGAAGTAAAATGTGTATTTTGCTCTTAGAAAGATACCTAATTTAGCCTACCAACAGTGCTGTGGCTTGGATAGGCTTTGAAAAGTGTGCCCTGCAAGGGTCCCTGTGTAGGGAGGTGGGCCCTGGAGTGACAGTGAGCAGCTGTGGGACCCCCGAGAGGAGGAGCCAGGTGGAAGGTGACTGGGTCACCGAGGACACAGCTGTTAACAGGGATGGACGCTGGCTGTGTGTAGAGTCAGTTCACACAAAAGCAAGCTGTTAGAACACAGCAAGCCTGGTCCTGAGTCCCCCAGGCTTCCTGTCTCACTGCATAACCTCTTCTTTCTTGCACTCCCATCACCACGGCATTCCTGAGTTGAGACGTAGCCACAGGGCCACCATCAGAGGCCAGACAGACATGGCCACCTGATCCTGGGCTTTCAGCCTCCAAAACTCAGAACAAAATAAACCGCCTTTCTTCACAAATTACACAGGCATATATATTTAATTGCAGCAATAGAAAACGACTAATACACACTGTTATTTCAACTCAAATTCTTTATAATAGGCTCACTGAGCTGGGCATGGTGGTACACACCTATAATCCCAGCAATCACCAAGAAATCAAGAATAACAAATGCTGGTGCAGCTGTGGTGAAAAAGGAACCCTCCTACATGGTTGGTAGGAATGTAAACTAGCACAAACGTTATAGAAATCAGTACTCTATAGAAATCAGTACTCGGAGATTTCTCAAAGAACTACAATTAGAAATTCCATTTGATCCAGATATTCCCCATCCAAGTATCTTCCTGAAACAGCTAAAGACATTACAGCAGTATGTGCATACCAATGTTCATACCAGCACAACTCATAATAGCTACATCCTGGAAGCAGCCTGTATGCCAACAGGCAAATGGATAAAGAAAATGTAGGATCGGTCCAGAGATTTAGCTCAGTGGCAAAGAGTCTGCCTGGCAAGCATGAGGTCCTGAGTTCAATTCCTGCTACCAAAAAAAAAAAGAAAATGTACATAATGGAATACTCAGCTCTAGTGAGCTCAAGGCCAGCCTAAACTACATACTGAGACCCTGTCTTTAAAAAAAAAAAAAAAATATATATATATATACACACACACACACACACACACATACATTTCCTTAAGTCATAAAAGTACCATATGGCATCTCTCATCTGAGTAAGGTGAAATACAAATAAAGAGCAAAATAAATGAGTGACAAGGAAACAGAGATGGATCTTTTGCAGATGGGAAGGGGCCCAGGAGAATGAGGGCAGGGGCGGGTGAGTAAAAAGATGAAAGATGTGTCACTTACATGTACCAGATACCCACAATGAATGCAAACACTGTATGTCATACATATGAACTAAAAATAAGAGCGAGAATGAAAATAGGGGAATGGGATTTAGAGGAGGTGGATGGGAAGAGAATTTAAAAAGAATCAAGCTGTGTTATGTACACACATCTTCTCCCTAAGATGAATGTAAACTTCATGTACTATAAACATGTACTGATAAAATTTTTTAAAATCAAAAAGAGAAAAATATCAATGTGATTAATGACTTAGAAAAAAGAAAACATGATTAGCTCATCAGACACAGAGAATGTATCTGACAAAAATGTAATACTCCATCTTCAGAGAAACACTGACTATATACAGACACACAGAAAATGTGTTGTCTGTGATGGATGGTGTCACACTGCAGTACATCTTTCGGTACCTTTGTCTGTTTCATCTGGTAAGTTTTGGAGATTTAGCAATAGGATCTTTGTAGAGATGATTATGATGTCCCTCACTCAAAGTTCTGTCATTTTGATGTATATCAAAGAATGCTGTAGAAACACGGCTGGGCGGGGGATTTAGCTCAGCAACACCGTGCCTGCCTCAAAAGCACAAGGTCCTGGGTTTGATCCCCAGTACCAAAAACAAAACAAAACAAAGAAACATGGCCCAAGGGTGGGGGGCATAGCTTAGTGGTAGAGCCCTTGCCTAGCATGTGCAAAGCTCTTGGTTTGATCCCCAGCACCACAAAACAAATGAAGAAACATGCCCCAAATCCACGAGAACATTCACTCACTGAAGGGATATCATGACTATAATCATCTGTTGCACTCACTATTCAAGGTCTCGTATATGAGGTCCCATTAGAGAAATTTTATCAAGTATCAAGAAATCTGTTGCTTCTAAGGAATAGTATGTGTTGCTTCACCCGAACAGCATGATTTTTTAAATAACTGATCATGGTTCTCATTTTGCTTTTGCTGTCAAATTTACACCTTATAACTGTACTGGAACCCACTGTTTGTACATCTGAATAACTCTCAGCTGTACTTTCTTATTCTACTTATATTTTCCAAAACCTCAAGGTCTATTCTTATTTTTCTACACTATTTCATCATTCATTTTCTTATGTAACCTTACTTTCTTACGAGTCTGTGAAAGCACAAGCTACAAATATGTCGTTAAATGCGATGGTCACGTGTCAGGGGTGTGTGTGGGCACGTACTTACCTGTGTAAACAAAGTGGTTTTCTGTCCAGAGATAACCTTCAGTGTCTGCTGTCCTTGTGCAGAAGAGGAGGCGACTCCCAGTGTCCCTTGGACCACTGACCCAGCAGCCAGCTGTTTACCAGGTGTCTGGGGTGAGGGCTGGCCAACTAAAAATGTGCCCTAAGTTAGGGAGAAACAAACCAACCTAGGAACTTGTTAAATTCAAATGGACTGCTCTGACCCTTTAAATCAAAGGTATAAGTTACAAGCTATAATAGTCTCCCCTTCATTCTGCAATTACTCAATCAGAACCACTGAATCCAACCTAATTCAAATGGCACGATTTGGTACTATTGCTTTCGTTAAGTCCTTCCGAGAACAAAATTCCAACTGTATATTAACACTATTTATCACCTCACAGACTTGGGAGGCAATGAGTGCAGTGGAAATTTTTCTTTGAGGGAGAAACATCTGGGTTTAGACTCAAACTCTACCGTTAGTTTAGCAGGCATGTCTTAGATAAATTATTCAGGCCTTTCTGAATCTGTTTCCTCATCTCTCAGACAAATCAACTCCCAAATAATAGATTTGTAACATGGCTAAAATGTCAGTAAACCAATGATAATTAAAGGTAATTATTAGGGGCCGGGATTTAGTTCAGTGGTTCTGGCACCTGCTTCGCAAGTGCAAGGTCCTGAGTTCCATCTCCATTACCAAAAACAAAAACAAAAGGTAATTATCAGATAGCAAGATGATTTAAAAATCAGACACAAACAAGCAGACCTGGGGAGTTTGCTTGAGGATGTAGGACGTGTATGTCAGGTGCTGGGAAACCCCACCAGGGCCGGCAGCACTCTGGGTTCCTCCTGCTCCTGCTCCTCCTCCGCTTCCCCCACCAGCACCCCCACCACTGCTGGCGGCTGAGCCGGACTGCAGACCTGCAAGCACACCGAACGACAGCATCATAAACAGTGTCAAGTAAAAGTCTAACAGAAAAAAGCTGCTGAGTCTACAGAGATGCTTCCCTCCTAGCACCATCCCCCTCCTTCTCTTCCATAATCTGTCTATTCTGCAACAAGAGTAAGAGGATGCCCTGGAGTTTGCAAATGAGATCAGAATCTATCCACAGGCTGAGCATGTGTAATCTGGAAACCTGAAATCCAACTTTCTGAGCATTGTTAGATCTGTGGACTAGGGATGGTCAACTGATAAAAGTCTATGCAAATAAAAAAGCTGCACTCTAAAACACCTCTGGTTCCAAGCATTTTGGATGGGGAACACTCAACCTGTCTTTTCCACTGAATGGCAGCTGATTATATTTCAACTCTAGGTGCAATGAAGAATTTATTCTTGACAAGTATTTAGACTTGGTTGTGGTAGAATACAAGCCTGACACTATTTTCTAGCCAAGTGCTTTAATCAAAACCCTCCATTTATAACGACTCCAGGTTCTTATTCTTTTTTGCTCTTCAAATCTCACCTCAAAGTCTATGAACTCTATTTCCACTTTGATAATGTCAGTGATATATTATAATACATTATATATAAAGGATATAAGCTACCTGGGCCACAAATACTCAACTTCTTTCCCAACCTCAATTCCACTATTATTATTGGAAGAAATTCCTTCCCAGTGGTTTATTTTGAACCTAAGGCTATCACAAAAATCTAAGTAGCTTTCCGGGTGAATTCTGGAATACTTATTTTGTCCTTTTTCACCTAACCTTGTGACATTCCACTGCTTTGGGATGCGGAAAACACACCAGACTGAGAGGGGCAATGACTCATCAGAGAATAAACAAATGGTGTCCAGCTTACATTGCATTTGGCAAGGCTGGTTAATTTTTAATGAGCCTCACTGTTATATCATTCTGCTTCTGATTCAGAAGGAAATAACTCATTCCTTTTACTCTTCCCTTTTTAGACAACCCAAACTGGTGTTCTCTGTACGTAAAGGCAAAAGTTTATGTAATTCTGATTTCCCGATGTACAAACTTAGGATGAGCCTGTACTTCTCCTTTCATCTCCAAGCCTAACAAACATAAAAAAGCCTAAATAATGGCAAACAGAGATGCTTGATTCCGGCCCTATTCCATCTCCTTTAAAATGAAAAGGGGCATCCAGCAGAAGGAAGAACTCTTCACTTGCACGTCAGCGAGAGGCGGCTTTCTCCCAAGAGCCTCCTACCCACACCTCTCCAGTGAGATCATCTGAAACTCTGAGCAGGGAAGATAACAGTGTTACCCCCAGTACTGTGACGATTTAAACCCATTTCCAGTTAGATTACATGTATGTTTTAAATCCACGTGGGCAAATGCTACCATTGCGGAGTTATGGAAACGCTTCCTGGAAGAGGTAAGAACTGCCACTCTGCTGGCCGAGAAGAACACACCAGAGACCCGGGACAGTGAGTGATCAAGGGTGGACTAACTGGCATTGTTGGTAGCTCGCAGGATGGCTCCCTGTGGAATCAGCAGTAGTTTCCCCTTCCCTGAAGGGTTCTTGCTGTTCGTGGTAAGGTACAGTTTAGTGCCTGGAGGCAAGTTTGCCAAGTTAGCCAAATTAGTGGCTGGTAGCTGCAAGGTTGCCATTACTAAAGTGGTAATGGGGAGGGGGGAAACAAGGGGAAAAAGGAAGAAAAACAGTTAAGACAAATTAGAATTATGGACAACACTTTAAATTAAAATACAGAGTAATAAATATTTATTTAAAAACACTAGCAGTAAATGTTTCCTAAATAAAGTTTAATACTCGGCCGGGTGTGGCAGTACATGTCTACATTCCCAGCACTCTGAGAGGCTGAGGCAAGAGGATCCCAAATTCAAGCCCAGCCTAAGCAACTAACTTATAGAGAAATTGTCTCAAAAACTAAAAAGGGACAATGATGTAGCTCACTATGAAAACCCTGTGTTCAATCCCCAGTACTAGGAGAAGAAAAAAAAGGCTAATATCTTTAAATATCTTGCTAACTAAAAAATTATTTACACACCAGAAGAGCCTACCACAAACTAACTTAGGCTGTTTATAAACAGGCTGATTATATCTGCTCTGGTTTTGCCTAGAATGCTTCTGCAGTAGTTTGCACCTAGGTCTCATTGTAATTTTGACTGTGGACCTAGGGACCCCCATGAGCTAAGCACATGTTCTACACTGAGCTATGCCCCAGCCCTCAGTGTAACTATTGATACTGACTCATTTTACTCTCAAAAGTACTGTGGTTTACACAACTAATGAAATAACCACTGCACACACATTTCCCCCATTTGTTTAAGGTTCCTTTAGTCAGGTTCTAGTAAGAGATGAATTTACTGATTTAACAAGACTTCTAGGTCTCTTCACTTTCTATGAACTCAGAAATGCTAGTCAACAATTTACACATACGTTATAAAACCATGATTCATCTTTTAAAAGTCTTACTTAAGTCAAATAATTTTCACTTATACCTTAAAAATTTACTGATCAGCACACACAGTTTTAAAACCTCTAAACATGGTCCTTAAAGAGGACTTAAAGACCAAATTAGCTTAAATTAATAAGGTCTCCATGGAACGGAGTGCAGAACCACAAAGTTGGCATCAACCTACTAGGCCTTCCTAGTCAGGATCAATACCAAATTGCATCACTAGCAAAGCCCCCAGGTGGACCAGTTACCTGAGCCCTGGGATCCACTCTTTGGAGGGCCAGAGGCAGTGACCTGCGCCTTGGTCAAGGCCTGTACTGGCTGCGCAACGATGGTTCCTCCACCTCCACTCACAAGTGCTTTGGCAACTCCTTGGGTCATAACTTGCTTTGGACCAACTGCTTTGGCGACAGAAGAACTGGCCTTGGCCACAAGGATCTGGCCACTACTGATTGCCACAGCCTGCTTCACTGCTGAAGGTAAGGCAGACCCAACTGGCACCCCGACAACCTGTTTGAAAGAGAGGAGAGCCCGGCAGTGCTTCATGTCAAGCACTCCAAGTGCTCCTGGAGCAGAGCAGCCATTCTGTTCTAGCGAGGAACAAAGCCAGGGCCTGGATGTGACATGCGGCATCTAGCCCAGCCCTCTAGGAAGGCTGCTTGGGCACATGGGAGAAATGACATTTCTTACACTTTGGATATAATAATGAAGGCTTGAAGACTACTGTCTTAACTTCAACCTTTTTTTTGGTACCGGGAATCAAACTTGGGTCCTTGCGCTTGCGCAGAAGGCGGCAAAACCACTGAGCTAAATTCCCAGCCCACTTCAACTATTTTTTAGAACTTATTTTCATTATAAAGTAAAATGAGGGCCGGGGATTTAGCTCAGTGGCACCGTGCCTGCCTCACATGCACAAGGTCCTGAGTTTGATCCCTGGTACCAAAATAAAATAAAGTAATATGAGTTTTGTAATAGAAAATTTGGGAAACACAAGAAGTCTAAAGAAAAATTCTACAGACCTAGAAATAATCTGTGAAAATTTTAAATGTAATTTCTTCCAATTCCTTCTAATACATATTTTAAAACACAGAATTGGGACCATGCTGTACATTTAGTTCAGTAATGTTTATTAGCCAACACCTTAGCTTATATTTCAAAAACATCTTCAGCTGACCAAATAAAACACTGCAAGAGTATACCACAATCTATGCAAATATTTCACTACTACTGGAAAATTTTAAATTTCACATTAATGGTACAGCGAACATCCCCCATGTATGTATGAACTAAACTCCAGTAAGTATTTCTAAGTCCCAGTTCTTCAGTAACCTCTCCTATATTATCCCCATCTGAGATGATCATTTCTTCTTTCCATTTCTAGAACTCCTAGTATACCATATGATGCCTTCTCCAACTGAATTTTTTTTGAAGCAAAACATTTATTGGTACATTTTAGATATACATAATGATAACACTCATCATAGGGAATGTGTACCTGTCCATGATATATCTCGCTTTTTTTATACCATTCCCCTTCCCTCCCTTCAACTCCTCTTCCCCTCCTTCTTTATAAAAGCTTTTGTTTCCATTTTTTCCTTCTATTCTTTTTTTTTTCTTGTCCCTTCTTTCCTTTCCCCTTCCCCCCTCCCTTGTTCCCCTTCTCATTTGAACATTTTCTTCCCATTTCCCAATATATATTATACATTTTAGTCCTTATTTCCACTTTTGGTTTCTCACACCAGAGAAACAATGCGGTATTTAAACACATGTGTCCAATTTATTTCACTGAAGAGTATGGTCTCAAGGTGCATCCATTTAGTTAGAAATGTCTCAAGCTTATTCTCCTTTATGGCCGAGTAGTACTTCATTGTATAAAACAACACATTTTCTTATCCATTTATCAGCTGATGGACATTTGGGCTGCTTCCAAGATTTAGCTATTACAAACTGTGCCAATATAAACAAGGGTATGCATATATCGCTGTGGTATGATGCTTTTCTTTCAGGATGATAACAAGCTGGGTCAAATGGAACCGCTAGTTTTAGTTTTTTGAGGAATCTCCACGCTGATTGCACCACTCTATACTCCCAGGGTTCCTTCCCCTCCTCCTCGACACCCCCGTCAGCATTTGTTATTGGTTGATTTCTTGATAACAGGCATACTTTCTGGAGATGGAGTCTCAGTGTTGTTTTAATTTGCATCTCTCAAATGACTAGTGATGTATCACCATTTCTACTTCTTCATCTGAGAAATGCATTCATTTCAGATGCCCACTTTTGGACCAGGTCTTTAAATTTGGGGGGGGTGGTGTCTGATTTTTTTGAGTTCTTTATATATTCTACATATTAGTCCTTTGTCTGAGAAACAGCTGGCAAAATTTTTTTTCCACACTGTGTCAACCGAAGAATAAATTGAGTTTGATCATTCTGATCTCAACTGTGGTTTTCCAATACCACTTCAAAGTTTCTTGAATTTGCCCTATTAGTCTGATTTTCCCCTCATTAAGTGATAACCTATGAACAAGATAGTTTATATGAGCTATCCTAGTGAAAAATCATCTCAATGCCTATTAAAGAAAACAGAAAAAAGGGAAGCAATATACTGAAGTAGAAACAGGCTATAGAAGACATAAAAGAATTCCTCAAAAGTATCTTGAATGAACTCTGGTTTAATGTTCTTTTCCTCCTCTTGTGGATTATACAAAGGCTGCAAAGCTTCTAACTTCTCACTGATATATCTCCAGGGAATTTAAAGATCTGTTGCGTGCAAGCTGGACTTGATGCAACTGCTGCAGGTACTGCTGACAGTGCTGCTCCTGCAGCTGGCGGATGAGAATCTGCTGCTGTTCGTAGTTCCCTGGATGCCGTTGGGCTGCATACTGCTGGAACTGCACGGCAGTCTGGGAGTTTAAAGCTGCCATCACCTGCTGCTTTCGCTGCTCCAACCGAAGCCTCTCTTCTTCTATTCGCCTCCTCTCTTCTTCCTCCCACCTAAGCCTTTCCTCTTCTTTTTTTTTTTGTACCGGGGATGGAACTCGGGTCCCTGTGCTTGCGTAGCAGACGGCAAAACCACTGAGCTAAATCCCCAGCCCTGCCTTTCCTCTTCTTCTCACCTATGCTTCTCTTCTTTCTTTAGCAGACATTCTCTTTCTTCCTCTTCCCGTCACCTTTGCTCATCTTCCTCCTTCCTTTTTTCTCTTGCTCTGCCTTCTCTATTTTGTGGGATGCAACATCTATTTAAGAGCTTGACAAACTGTACCATGCCATCCTCTTTAGACATGCTTCCCAGGGCTGCCCACTTGTTCCTTCTGTCATTTCCCAACACATCGAAGAATCCAACCTCAGGACAAGTGTCTGGATTATATGGGCCCATAAGAACTTGCTTATGCAGTGCCACAAGCTTCAACTTTTCTTTGTAAGTTAGATGAAAGGCTTTGCCATCTTTTTTGTTTAAAGCAGTTTGTTCCCTCTTTGGATAGCTGCGATTCTCTCTTCAACTGATTTTTAAGAAAAGTTATCTTTTACTATATTTCTTTCTAATCTAATTGAATGAGAACTACATGTGTCTGTATAAACAGAGTTGTAAAGAAAACCATATCTTATGTAAATCTCCAAAACACAAACACTGTATGTCTTCCATGGCTATGTATTTATGTAATAAAACCAGGGACTAACATGCTATATATCAGATTCATAAGCCTGATAAAACATGACATCCCAAGTTGGCCACAGGAGGGCAGTCTTTACCAACAGTCTATCTACCATGTACATGGTGGAATTCACAAGGCCCCCTTTTTGCTTCAGAAAAGAAAACACAAGAAAGACTACATTCTATAGGGGAAAACTCTAGACACAGCTGATTATGGGCACCAAAAAGAAGAAGGGCCCTTAAGTAGAATACAATAATGCCAAATTAGTTTTTCCTCTTTAAACAACACATTCTGGCCTATAACTTGAATTCAATACCAACTTCTCTCCTCTTGACATTCCACAACACTTCTCTGGGTGGTGATAATTTCCTCCTAGCTTTACGAAGCACAGACTTTGTTCTGTGTCTTTTATAAATGGTCTACCTAGATGCACGCTGTGATCCAGTGTTTCTATTTCTGGCCTCCTTGGGCTGTGTGCACACCTGTGGCAAATCAGAATGCAGCACCCTGAAGGAGAAGATTCCACGTCTGCAACTTTCCTCTGCATACTCAAAACCATAGACCATCACCATGGCACTCGTGCCTGTCTACACACATCACCACATTAGTTATCACTTACTGATCACTGCCCTCTGCTAGGTCCTTCATATACAAAACTCTCTCATTCTCCTACTGGCCTGAAAGGCAGTATTATTGTCTGACAAGATGAAAAAAATCAGGGTTCAGAGAGATTAAATAACCTCCTCAGATCACACAAGCAAGCAGCTAATTCCAAAGCTCATGGTCTTTCACAATGCTGCACTGCTTCCTTGCCACACAAAACCCACTTGCTATTCAGCTGTCTCTTTCCAAGTTAGAGGGAGAACCTCGCTCCACTTTCATTAAAAAAAAAAAAAAAAAAGAATTTGTAGTTCTATTTTGCCAAAATTGTGTGGAAGGCAAATGACCACTTTTTCTAGCTTCCCATTTTTGGACACTTTCTAGGAATGCACGTGACCATTAACCAGGGACAGTCTGTACTTACGTCAAGACTGATCCTTATGTCAAGTCCAAAGCCAGTACTAAGGTCCTGGTAAAGAGCAATGCCTTTTCTCTTCAACTCCTTCTCTGTGGTCTTCCACTCTGTGGTGCCTTACGCCCCATTCAGGGTATTCCAGCACAGGACCCCTTGCTCTCTCCTAGTGTTCTACCACCAGTACGTAGATGGCAATGTGACAAGACAGAATGGTTGCTCAGCAGTGCTGGATGAATGGACTGGCAAAGTGCAAAGTGGCAAAAAGCAGAGACTATTCCAGAACTTCTGAGAATCAACAGTGATGGCAGACTGACTCAAAACCTCAATCAGGACCTGGGTGTGGTGGTGCACGCCTGTAGTCCCCACACTTGGAAGACTGAGGCAGGAGGACTGACGCAAGTTTGAGGCCAGCCTGGCTCCTCTGTGAGTCCAGGGCCAGCTTAAAGTACATAGTGAGACCATCTCAAAAACACAAAACAAAATAGGGCTGGGGATGTAGCTCGGTGGTTCCACCACCTGCCTCAAAAGCGCAAGGTCCTGAGTTTGATCCCTGGTACCAAAACAAACCAGAAAAACCACACACACACACACACACACACACACACACACACACACACCCCCAGAAAAATGACATACTCTTCTATGAAGCAAAGTAGATTTTGAAGAACACGTGAGAAAAGTGTGAACAGAAGTGGAGAGATGACAATAACTTACTCACTAAAGGACTGCTGACGCCTGGTTTTGGCCATAGAAGCACCAAAATCAAACTTGATGCTATATAGCTCCATGCTTTCTATGTCTGCCTAAGCACATAAATTAGCAGAAGAGCTTATTAAAAATGAAGACTCCCAGGACACCCCAACCCAAAGGAGATTCTGATTCAGTAAGTTCAAGAACACCTTAGGTGTCAATACTTTTTAGATCTGCAGGTGATTCTTATCAGATACTACTATGATTTTTTTTTTTTTTTGGTACCAGGGATCGAACTCGGGGTCTTTGAGTTTGGGAGGCAGGCAGCAGAACCACTGAGCTAAATCCCCGGCCCTCTACTATGAATTTTTATCTCAATCCTTATCTAGGTATCTAGGCTAATCAAAATTACCTAAAGCCTTTTTCTATTTTAGAATACAATATTCCTCTCAAACAATTCACTCTCTAGAAAATCTGGCTTTCGAGTTGAAAAATATCCATAAAACATTCTTAGTAGCTTCAGAATATACTGGCCAGAACACAGATAATTAATTTACCTCTGTTCTAAAACATGCTGAATTAGAAACAATGGCTCCCGAATTTTTACTAGTTCTGGAAGAGGAAGCTGGAGTAATCAGACCTGGGTTTAACCCCTTGTCGCTTGCTAGCCAAACATTCTCCAAGGAGCTGTTCAACCTCTCAGAGCCACGGTAACACCAGGTGACAACAACCACCTTTCAGGGTGGTGTGAGTGTCACAGCTAATGTACATATGAGGCTGGCACACATAAGTACTCAGCAGGTTCTCTTTCTAATCAATGTAGGAAAACTCAGATCTAGGCGCTTTCTTATAGTTCTCCCAATACGATACAAACTCCTCTTTGTAAGGAAAATTACCTCTCTAAAGAGCCAAAATCATTAAAGAGACCATTAAACAGAACCTAGACACCACAGCTATAAACTGCAGCACTCTGCTATCACAGTTGAAACAGTAATGCCGGCTTAGATTCAAGTTCAGTGGAAAGCTGTGTCTATGAAGCCAGGCCCTCTCATCCAGGGAGGAAGGACCCAGCATCCCTTTGCCACTGGGACTGTTCCTGGACCCTCTATGATACATGCACTACTCTTGTCAGGGATACCACAGGGGCAGACAGGCTCACCATCAACTGACCTTTTCCAACCCAACTGTCATCCACAGCATTTTATAGGGTTGGCAACTCTGTCACCCTGAACCTTTTCAGTACTTGTCAATTACTTAGACAAACAACGTTCATTTAGTGAACTCCCAACCCTTATCCCAAACAAACCTTGGAGGGCTGAATCTTTGGTGACTGGGCAGACCCTTCTGCAGCAGTTATAACTTGTTTCTGAGGGGATACAGCTATCATGTGACCCCCTTTCACGGTCACATACTGAGGAAGTGGTGACTGGCTGGCAGCTCCCGTTGTGGGCACATGAGGAGCTTCACCAGGTTCCTGTTTGATGATCACCTTGCAACAAACACAATAACACTGAATAAATAACCCATGGAAAAAACTATCAGTATCTATACCTATTCTGTTTATGGGGATTAACTTTATGAGAATGACTCCACAACAAGGGTAAAATACTGCCTAAATATAGCCTGTAACAGCTATTAAAGGGGCCAAATGTAGGACCTGAACCTGATCCCGTGCTTCCATTACTTACTTTAGAGACTGGCAGCAAAATGGACATGGAGAGGAACAACATACGATTTGTGTTTCTGAACTCTCCAACCTGCTGAGCTCTAAGGAAGCAGACAGAACTAACGAAATGGAATCAAGTCCCAGAATTAGGATATCATCTTAGAGCTGAGACATACATGTCATAGGCGGTAGTCTCACCTCCAATGTTCCACAGAAAGGATTATATAACAAGACCATACAGGGGCCAGGGATTTAGCTCAGTGTTTTCACTGCCTGCCGCACAAGCGCAAGGACCTGAGTTCGATGCCCGGTACCAAAAAAAAAAAAGACCATACAGACTTGAAGGACAATGCCCTAAAAAATACTTTTAGGGTCGGGGATTTAGCTCAGTGGTTCTGCCGCCTGCCTCACAAGCGCAAGGTCCTGAGTTCGATCCCCATTACCAAAAAAAATACTCACTTTTGTGAAAGCTCCAAGTCCTCCAGTTATAGGTTTGGGGCTCTGAACCTTAGGGTGACTACCAATTGGGCAAAGAGGTGGCATAGATGCAAACAAAGAATCCTCCTGCTGTGGGTACAAAAACACATACTGTGTAGCCAGGTCAAAATGGGTGCTTTCATATATTCTAATCACTTGTATTTAATACAAACCCATGGCATTCTTGAGCAACATAAGCCAAATACAAAACAAAACAGCCCAGAATTCTGAGGAGTGCCCCAAGTCTCTACATCTGCATTTTAATCTTGCTTTAGAAACCAAATGCAAAGAAAAGTTCTAACTTAGCAAAAATGTGCTCATATGTATCTTGCTATATGATGAAAACGCTATCCTATAACCTCTAATACTTGGTTAACATATGACTTGCATGTGTCTAGTTCCCTGTCCCCAGCAGACAGTAAACTGTTAAAGAACAGTGCCTGTATTTTGTTTGTTATATCCCTAGACCCTAGGCACTAAATAAATGATTAAAACGAGTAGGTGCAGTGTTTCAGTTCATGTTCTTTTTAATTGTGGTCTCTACTTGATTTGTTAAATTTACTAATAACTGGAATACCATGGAAATTATTTCAATAAAGACTTTCTATGAAAAGAACAATCAACTAATAATTGATACTCTGAAACAGGAAAAGGTCCAAAGGGGTAGTAGGGGTGGTGGGAGGAGATGGGGAAAGGAAAGAATGGAAAGGAAAAATTATGAGAAAAGAAAAAAAAAAAAATATGGAAACAAAGTATGTAAATAGGGAAGGGCACACAGGTAATGGGGAAAAAATAAGAACCAAGATACATCATGTACAGGTACAAGCACCCAATGATAAATGTAAACATACTGTATACCTAAAATGTACCAATAAAAGAAAAAAAAAAAAAGAACAATCAGTATACACAGAGACAACAAACTCAACATTCAAAACTCCTGGAGTCTGTCTCTTAATTCTGAAAGACAAAATGCAAATCTCAGAGGTAATTTGCCATAAATAAATTTTAGGGTTAAGAGTATTTCTTGGGAAAAAAATTTTCTAGGGCCAGGGATTTAGTTCAGTGGTTCTGCTGCCTGCCTCACAAGCGCAAGGTCCCAAGTTTGATCCCCAGTACCAAAAAAAAAAAAAAATGTCTTGACTATGTCTGAAAAGTTCATCAATAAAGATTAAAAACTAAGCTGGCAAGCCTGGCGAAGTGGTGTGCGCCTGTATTCCTATCTACTTGCCAGGTAGCCAGCCTGGGCAACTGAGTAAGACCCTGGCTCAAGATAAAAGGGGGGGATATGGATCAACATGAGGTCCTGGGTTCCACCCTCAGCCTTACAGAAAAACAAAAGCCTAGCAGAATTAAAACCTTCAAAAGAATTACTGTAATTCAGACATTCACATAACACAGCACTCACACATGGCACAAAATTTAGAGGAAAACCTTGGTTTGGACCAGGAAACCACTGAAGGTCTAAACAGAAGACATGCTGTGTTTGGCACTACTCATGTGAAACGGAGGACTCTGCATTCTCAGGGCTCCTCAGAGAACAGTTTGCACCTCAAGGGCTTCAGATTTAAGGTGGCCACAACGAATACCAAAAAGCAGAGGGTGTCTTTGCCAAATGGTGAGCAGATACTTAGCATTTTCTTATTTGGGGCGCCAAATTTTACAGGACTGCTCACTCTGAAGAACAGAGACCAAAACAGACAAACGAAAAAACCTTATAGGGAGATAAGAATTATTTTCAAGTAATTAAAAGGCTAACACATGGAAAAATATATTTAGTCCTTGGAAAAGGAGGAAAAATGAAACATTTTGTAAGATGAATATTTTATAGGGAAATGTTTTCTTTTGTGGTACCCGGGATCAAACTCGGGTCCTTGCCCTTGCAAGGCAGGTGGTGGAACCATTGAGCTAAATCCCCGGCCCCAGGGAAATGTTTTGAACAAAGCTGTCCCTTCCAAAAACATAAACAAGGCCACCTCTCCATCACACTGTGTTCAAACTCATGCTGGCCGACCATCTGCGAGAAGTGCTAGCAGAAGAGCCGGGCAGGCAGAGGCATCTACAGCAGAGGATCTTCAGGGTCCCGCCTGCTCAAAGAAATCCACACCGACCCACACTCTTGCCAAGGCTGCACACACTGTCTTCAGAAACCAGAAAGGTCAACAAGGAACAGGAAGGCTTACCTTGACAGTGGATGTTACAAAACTACTTCCGTGAATTTTAGGAACAGGGGAGCCTGTTCCCTGGGAGACCTGAGAAGCCGTGGAGAGCTTGTTTGTAGGACTTCCTAATAAACAAGGCAGACATAAAAATTAAGTATAAACAAAGTAAGATTTACAAAATGTAGTTTTAAGCCCTTTCCACCACCTCTCCCTCTATCCCACTACTTATTTTTCTTTTGTGTGTATGTATAGTGCTGGGGATTAAACACAAGGCCTTTGTACTAAACTACTTCCCCAATTCTTTTTTTTTTTTTTTTTTTTTAAAAAAAAGGTCTCGGGGCTGGGGATTTAGCTCAGTGGTTCCAGCACCTGCCTCGCAAGCACAAGGTCCTGAGTTCGATCCCCAGTATGAAAAAAAAAAAGGTCTTGTGCTAAGTTGCTCAGGCTGGGCTCAAACTTGCAATTCTCCTGCCTCACCCTCCCACAGTGCTGGGATTATAGGCATGAGCCACCATGCCTGGCTTTCTTTTTCCTTTTTAAGGATTGAAAATTTACAACCCTGAAATACTATAAAAAAAAAAAAACCCTGGAGGACTCATCCCTAGAAAATTAAGGGTAAGAAGCTAGTAAGGACAAGCTGAGGAAAAGTATACATTATATATTCTACTCCCTGCAGAAGAAGAGGTATATAACATAATGCTTTTTGCTCGTTCTACAAATGGGCCAGAATGTGTGCATTCAAGTGAATGCCAGCTCCTGCAAAGTAGCTTCACTAGAAGGTTATCCTATGCCAAAATGGCGCCCAGGTTAAATGTTTTACACCTATCTGCACAACTTCTTTTAGGATCTGATAAAAATAAAGTCACATTATCAATAGTCAGTAGTAAGTCAAGACCTAAAATGGTATTCATTCACCTATTCCATCTCCCCAACTTGCCTTTAAAGATTGTGAATGATTCCTAAAACTAATCATCCTCAAGAGACATGCAACTGAATTCAAAAATATGTTCAAAGGCTATTAGCAAAGTCCCCAAAGCAGTATTTTTCTATAGGCGTTCCAGAATTATGACTGTAAAATCCTTAGCTTTTCAAAAAAGCATCAATAGCAACAACAACAAAAACAACTTGGGAAAAGCCCAACGTACATAAACGTATATTAAATCCAATACATTAAAACAAAAAACAAACTCCAGCCAGGGATGGTGGCACAATCCTATAATCTCAGCCTTCGGGAGGCTGAGGTATGGAAATTGCCACCAGTTTGAGACTAGCCTGTGCTATGTAGTTCTAGGCCAACCTAAACTACATAGCAAGACCCTGTCTCAAAAAAGACAAGAAAAAAATACATCACAACGAAACAAAACATTATTACCTTATAATCACTGTTTTTATTTTGTTTCATTTCTCCTAATTGGGGAAGTTTATACTTGGGAACATGCGCTTAAATATATGTTAAGTAAAGGGAATAAAAAAAAATAATATTAGTGAAAGAACAACCCCCCAAAAAAAGCACTACAGTTAGATGGGATTATCTTATTTGGGGGAAAGTAAGTATCATGCTGTTTGGTGAGAAATGTGTATGGCCTACAAAGCTATCATCACACCAAAGGCTTAACTTGCAAATGTTAGTCATCACATTACTTGCAGGCTCCAAAACAAGAATTTCATTTCTAAATGAAAAGAAAATTAGTTATGGTTCACTATTAATTCTTAAAAATATAACTTTTACAAAGACTACATCTTCCCTCAGAGAAACAGTATTAATGTTATTTTTATATATTCTTATTTACAGATGGAGATTTCATTCTACTTGATGCTCCTAAGTCATACTAGGATTTCATCTTTAACAAGAGTGTTCAAATGCACAAATCCTGACCATATACATACCTGTGCTTGCAGTGGAGGCTCCCATAACCTGCCCGGGCTTATCCATGATAACATAAGGGTTGTTCAGAACAGAGCTGGCAGTGCCCTGCTTCACATGGACTGGAGTGGAAGTTGGGGTTCGAGGCAATGGTGATGGACTTGGAGTTGATATTGGGGAACCTTTGTCAATTAAAGAGAGAAGAGAAACAAAACACACATATTCAACTCATCTAAGATGCTCAAGTCGCAAGTGGCGGCCCAGGCCTGCAATCCCAGCACTCTGGGAGGCTGAGGCACGAAGACCACAAGTTCAAGTCCAGCCTGGGCAACTCAGTGAGACCTGTCTCAAAATAAAAAAGACTGAAGATACAGCTCAGTGGAAAGGCCCTGGGTTCAACCCCCAGTAGTGCGAAAGAAAGAAAGAGAGAGAGAGAGAGAGAGAGAGAGAGAGAGAGAGAGAGAGGGAGAGAGAAGGGAGCTGAAGACAAAGGCTGCAAGTCAGAAGAAGGAATGGAATGAGGCTGAGTGAGCAGCAACAGCAGCGGTATAGGTGAGGCCAGGGAGGTGAGTGCTTCACTCTGCATCCTAATCTGTGAAACATCACCAGCAGCAGCATCGCTGCAAACTCATCAGAAGGAGAGTCCAAGGTCCAAACCAGGCCTTCTCAGTGTACATCTGCATGTTAACAAGATCCCCTCTTATGCAAAGTGAAGTTTAAAAAGTAGTGCTTTGCTTAACAGTGTGGAACTGCTGTATCCTGGCATAAAAAAACCTCTTAAGGTTGTAATACCAGTTATACGCAGACACTAAAATTAGGGAGAGGGCCAGGGATTTAGCTCAGTGGTTTCACTGCCTACTGCGCAAGCCCAACGACCCGAGTTCAATGCCTGGTACCAAAAAAACCCCACAAAAACCAAAAAAACTAGAATTAGGGAGAAAATTAGTAAGTGAACTTCAGATTTAGCAAACTGATGTTTTGATATTTGCAATGCATTCCAAATAGGAAAACTGAAATCCATCTACTCAAGACAAATGTCTCTATTAATACTATGTCACGGCCACAATCCAGAAAGACTCACATTCTCACAAGTTATCTCTAGGGTTACACATTTTGATGGCCTTACTGATCAAATGTGTCACCTGCATATTTCTCTGAACTTCAAACTCACTTCTATATTTACCTATTCCCTCTCTGAAGCAGTAAGTTCCAAAACAGTAACTGGTAGGTAAAATTACACTCTGCCTTTTATCAAGATCTGGACCATGTTCCTGCTTTGTTGTTCACTTTTAGCAGCAAAAACTCCTGTTTTCCTCCTTCATTTAAGCACTGTACTAAGTATTCCCCTGCCTAGATGTTCTCAATTGCCTCCTCACTCATCTTTTCTAAAGTACAGCCAAAACCACAGTGTGTTCCTATTAAGTCTACTTAACATAAACACGAATCTGTCCGAAGGCAAAGGACAACCTTACTATAATGAAAAGGAAGCATTAGAGAGAATAAAAAATATTTCAATTCCAACCTTTATTTTTTGAGTCAAGGTCTCGCTATGTAGTTCAGACTGGCCTTGAACCAACTATGTAGCCCAGGCTGGCCTCGAACTGTGAAAATCTTCCTGCCTCAGCCTCACAAGTGCTGGAATTACAGGTGTGTGCCACCATGCCCAGCAATTCCAACCTTTTAAAGCTTAACTCCATGCCAAAAAAGCCTCTCAAGAATCCCTACACTTATTTCCTAACTTAGTTTCAGCCATATATACCAGCAAAAAATTGGCCTTTGCTGATTCTAGGAGATAAAAAAGTCTGACCATTTTGGGTCTCATTTCTTCACCCCACTCAAAAACTCCACATGAATGAGTTGTGGTTTTTGTTGTGACAGCTTTGCCAATCGATGGTGATTAAGTCTTTCTGATAAACATTGCTAAGAACTTCACTCCAACAATTCTAATCTCCAGTCAACGTGACACACATCTTCTGCATACCTGAGACAATCTTGCAGCTCATGGTAATGGGCTGGAAGGATTTTCCAGGTGACTCAGGATTAGGAATCTGACTTTGTGGTACAATTTTGCAGCTTGATGCTATTGGCTGGAAAGCTGAATTGCCATGAGAACAAAAGGTAACTTTCTGGGACGCTGTCACTTTAGTGGGTGTTCTTTCCAATGAAGATGGCAAAGAATAAAATGTAGTGTGTCTCTCAGCTTCCGTGCTGGCTGGGAATCCTGTTTGGAATTTAATGAGCATATGATAGGTCATCAATTACTTTGAAATAATAAAACCTTACCATATGGGAAAAGAGTAAAAATATTACTATATTATTCACTATTATTTCAATACCTATTTAAACCAATTACAGGTTGTAAAATAATCAGTTACCTTTTCTTATTTTTTTGGTGGGAAGTAAATATGCTTAGAATCCTATTTAGTTAAAATGCCTCTAAGAAATTAGAAAACATTAGGCCGGGGATTTAGCTCAGTGGTGCCACCACCTGCCTTGCAAGCACAAGGTCCCTAGTTAGGTCCCCAGTTTGATCCCCGGTACCAAAAAAAAAGAAAACATTAACTATAAACCATTTACAGTATAAAAATAACCCAAGTTCATTGTGTTCTTCAGTTCTTAATACACGAATCAAAAACATAGAGTAGAAAAACTCAGAAACCATTTGTTTAATCTACTGACATTCTAACTCATTAAATGGTCATAAAGAGGATGCAACTGCAATATAGAGAAATAAAGATGAGAGTCTATAAAAGAACTAAATTATTATCACATTAAAGTACATGCTGAGATAAAATTAACACCACTTAGAGTCAATTTATATCTTATATGCTTATATATGTGAACATTTAAATACACATGTATATACTTATTTAATGAAAAAATGCCGTGGCCAAAATACATTTGTTGATGTTGAACATTATTTTCAATACAATTATATTTAACACTCAATTCTCCTGCTCACAGAAGTAGAGACTGAACCATAAAATCTCCAGCAAAGGATAAATATCTAGAGTTTTTTTAGTTGGGTGTGGTGGCACATGCCTGTAGTATCAGTTACTCAAGAGGCTGAGGCAGAAAGATTGCAAGTTCAAAGGCCAGCCTGGGCAACTCAAGATCCTGTCTCAAAACAAACAAAAAAAAGGGCTAGGATATAGCTCAGTGGTAGGGCACCCCTTGATTCAATCCTCATTACTGAACAACAACAACAAACAAAAAACTTAATGCTTTTTAGTGATGTCTGCATTTTATAAAATGTCAGCAGAACTCTATGGGAAAAGAAGTTTCTGAGAAAAGCACAAAATTTGCTATTGTGATAATAGAACTGTGAGGTAGAGGCAGCATGCCTATTGATGAAAAATTTATTTTCCATATACTTGAAGCAGCTGAAGGCAAACTACTATGCTAATGAGGAAAACACCCCCAGAGAATGACTCCACACAAGCAAAACGCTACATTACCTTTCTCCACAGAGGCATCAGGAACTGGTTCGAGGGACTGCTTTATTGGTGAAGAAGCCTTCACTGGGGCTGGAATGGTCAAAGGTAAAGGTGGAGGGGCATCAGAAACATCTGACTCAGAGGACTGATGGTAAACGGAGTCTTCTCCGAGAGAGTGCCGGTGGAGTTCGACATCCACTACCTGCACAATCAGGTGACAATCGGCGTGTGAGTCCAGCAGCAATGTCCCACCCCAGAATATGATTTCTTTTTTTTTTCGGTACCAGGGATTGAACTCGGGTCCTTGCGCTTGCAAGGCCGGTGACAGAACCATGGGCTAAATCCTCGGCCCTGGAACATGATTTCTAATCACACCTTAAGCTAAGCTCAGGATGAGGAACTGAGGATAATCCTGGAGCACAATCCAACCTGGCTTAGTGGACATGCAATCTATCTCAGATGCCTTTAAATCCTTGTGTGGCTGCCTTTCTCATTTGTGAGTCTCAATGAAATGTCACCCTCTCAGGGGCCCTTCTCTAATTACCTTAAGAAACAACTGTGCTCCCCTGGCTACTATCTTCTTCACAGGACTTACTGGTAACTGAAAATCATTTATTTATTTATTTTTTTGGTACCGCGGATTGAACTCAGGACCTTGTGCTTGCAAGGCAGGCGGCGGCACCACTGAGCTAAATCCCCAGCTTTACTTTTTTATTGGTGGTGCTTGGGATCAAACTTAGGGCCTGTGTACACTAAGAAAGCGCTCTGCCATGGCATTACAGCCCACTCTTATTTGCTTTTATGTTTGCTGCCTACTCTCCACATTTTCAAAACCATCAAGAATGTAACTTTCTGAGGGTAGAAGCCACCTTGTTCATCTCTGTACTTCCCAACACCCTGACCAGTGCATAGCACGGAGGTGTTCAGTAAGTATCTTCTCATAAGGACACAGCTCATTTCTTCAGATAGAGTAAGCGTTAACTAGCTATCTATTGCTGATATTATATCATGAATATAAAAGAGAAAAGGGAGTGTAAAGTTGGAGGTCTCACATATCCTGCTTTCAACACTTAATACAAAGCCATAGGAATCAGAGTGTGAAATGGTAGACAGACCCCTAACCAATGGAACAGAATAAACCTTCACATGTACGGCCAAATGACCTCCCACAAGGGGGCCAAGGCCATCCAATAACAGGAAGGACAGTGTTTTCAAGAAATTGGTGCCCGTAGACAGGTGTGGTGGCACATGCCTGTAATCCCTGCACTTGGGAGGCTGAGGCAGGAGGATCGATGCAAGTTCGAGGCCAGCCTGGGCTACATAGCGAGACCTTATTTCAAAAAAACAAAGCCAAAACCAAAACCAAAAACACAAAAACATACACTAGAGGAAAGTTAGTCTCTTTAATAAATGGTGGTCTCATGTTTAAACAGAAACAATACACTGGAAGACAAAACAAGTACAACTCTTGAAGACATAGGCACAGGCAAAGACTTTCTGAACAGAACCCCAATGGCACAAGAAATAATGCCAAGAATCAACAAATAGGATCATGCCAAATTTAAAAACTTCTATACAGCAAAGAAAGAATTAACGAAGTGAAGAGATAGTCTACAGAATGGGAAAATTGTTTTTGCCAGCTATTCCATGGACAGAGGACTAACATCAAGAATATATAAAAAAAAGGGCCGGGGATTTAGCTTAGTGGTTCCAGCACCTACCTTGCAAGCCCAAGGTCTCAAGTTCAATACCCGGTACCAAAAAAAAAAAAAAAAATATATAAAAAACTAAAAAAAAAAACCCAAAACCTAGACCCTCCCCAAAAAAGATCCAATCAAAAAAAGTGGAACCAAAATGAAAAGACACTTCTCAGAAGACATATAAATTTTTAAATACATTTTAAAAATGCTAATCATCACTGGCCACCAGAGAAATGTAAATTAAAACTACAAGATACTATCTTACCCCAGAAAGAATGGTTACCATCAAAAAGTCTAATAACAACAAATGCTGGTGAGTATATGGGGAAAAAGGGACTCTACTAAATTGTTGGTGAGATATAAGCTAGTATAAATACTATGGCGATCAGTGTGGAGATTCCGCAAAAAACTAAAAATAGGAATTCCATTTGACCCAGTTATCCCCCTTCTAGACAGCTTCCTGAAAGAGTTCATCCTTTTAGAGGGATACATATATACCTATGTTTATAGCAGCACAATTTATAATAGCTAGTCTTGGAAACAGCATGTATGTCCATTAACAGATGAATGGATAAGGAAGATACAGTATTTACAAACTATAAAGATAAACTTGAGGCATTCATAGGTGAATGAATGCAACTTGCGAACATAATATTAAATGAAATAAGTCAGAAACAAAGGCTCCAATATCACATAGTTTCTCTTATATGAGAAACATGTAACACACACACACACACACACACACACACACACACACACACACACACGGCAAAACAGGAGATAAATAAGTTCAAATACTTCCCCAAATATAAATTCCATCATTTTAAAGATATTTCAATACATATGCTAATTAGTTTCATTTATACTACTAGTTTATCTTAGTATGTTCAAAAGAAAGTTGGGTCATTATCTTTTTTGGGGGTAAGAATCTTTTTGGTTTATGCTCTGTACTCAGAGTAACTAGTACAAAGATAATCATACACAATGTAATAACTATGGTTATTCTCTTATTATGAACTTTTGTTTCACAAAATAAAAAAAAGGAAGGAAATTCTCACATACAATATGGATGAATCTTGAGATTACGCTAAATACAATAAAGTAATCACAAAAACTATTATTATATGATTCCATTTATATAAGTTACCTAGAACAGCCAAATTCACAAGGACAGAAAGCAGTACAATGGTTTCCGGACCCAAGGGAGAGGGAAGAATGGGAACTGTTTAGTAGGTGTGGCTTTTCAGTTTTGCAAGATAAAAACAATTCAAGATATAGACTATGCTGATGGTTCATAACAATATGAATGCACTTAATGGCACTGAACCATACTGAAAAATGGTTAAGATGATATATTTTATTATGTTTTTTAACTACAACTGAAAAGATCAACTGAACACTCACCCCCTGCCAATGCAGACCAACTTTAACCTGCCCAAAGGAGAAATACCTACCGTCTCTGCGCCAAGCGTCTGCAAGCCAGTGTAGGTCCTATCCAGCTACGGGAGACAGAGGGGAGAGGGTCAGATCTCACTGTGCTTAGTTACAAACCTTAGGACACAATCTTATCTCAAACTCCTTTCACCACAAGTCCTTTTTTTTTTTTTTAGTATATGTGCAGGCAAAGCAAGCACAAGTCTTTTTTTTTTTAACCACACAGGATCTACTTTATCATGATATAAATTATAAATTTATTACTTCAATAAAAATCCTCAACTTTCAGGGGAAATTAAATAAAATAAAAACTATAGACATATAGCTATTATATTTTTATAAATTCTATACTTCTGTAGACCTAAGGACTATCTAAAAAAGGAAATTTTACACAAAAAGGTGATTACTACAGCATTATTTATACCAGTAAATATAAATATAAATGTCCAGCAAAGAGGAACACTTAAGTAAACAATGGATCATCATTTTGTGAAGTATTACGGAACCACAAAGGTGAATTTACAAAATTCTGTACAGAGCTAGACCTGGTAGCACACATCTGTAATCCCAGCACTTGGGAGGCTGAGGTAGGAGGATTCCCAAGATTTTGAGGCCAACCCGAGCTACACAGTGAGTTCAAGACCAGCCTGAACTACACTGCAAGACCCTGTCTCACAAAACTAAAACAAAAAAAAAAAACCTGAAAAGCTATTTTAAATGACAAGCTAGGGCTGGGGATTTAGCTCAGTGGTTCTGGCGCTTGCCGCACAAGCGCAAGGTCCTGAGTTCAATCCCCGCTACCAAAAACAAAAAAACAAAAAACAAAAAAAAAAACCCCTCAAAAATGACAGGCTATAAAAATACACAATTGGGGGCCAGGAATTTGGCTCAGTGGTTCTGCCGCCTGCCTTGCAAGCCTGAGGTCCCAAGTTCAATCCCCAGTACCAAAAATAAAAATTTTTAAAAATACACAATTGGATTTGACAACATACATATAAACTTAGGTATAGTTACTAAGCACTACTGAAAAACATAAATGAAAATGTAGGTAGTATAGGCAATGCTACTTACTTCAAATACATTAGTGTCATGAAAGTTTCTTTGAGGAAAGTAGTATAAACAGGAAATACTAGTAATATAAACAAAAAGGAGTTTATAATTACATGGAAAAAGGCTACTGTGCTTCAATTTATATCCTACCACTAAAAAAAGAATTTGTGATAGCTTATCAATATAAAACTGCATACATGCTGGGGGCGTGGTGGCGAATGCCTATGATCCCAGCCCTTGGGAGGCTGAGGGCAGCCTGAACTACATAGTGAGACCCTACCTCAAAACAACCAAAAAAATTTACAAAAAAAAATGCACATGAAGACTGATTAAAAAAAGCATGATTAAGTTGGGTAGAAAGGAAAGGAAAGATAGAAGGAAAAACTGATGAAGCCTGGGTAGATTGGCAAATTCACAGTTTTAAAGGCCTGTAAGGAGTAGATGTCAAGTCTGTCTGAGTTCCTGAAAGGGCAGCTCAATCAATCAGAAATGAGACTGTATGCTCAGAGATTATAAAAAGCAACACAGCATGATTAACAGTATTTCCATGGAAGAGATTTGGATTTTTCATATTTAAACCTTAGCCAGGAGTACGACCGTAAAAAAGATATGAGCAGTTTTAGATTACATCCATGTTCCTATTCTCTAGAACATAGAAATACTGTAACAGTTTCTCTGTAATCTGTACTGATGTTTTACTCTTCTGACCAGATATGAAGAAAGCCACTGATAAATCACACCTGTTAACAAAATAGCAAGAGGAATGAGAAAACAGAGCACACAAGAAATGTTATAGGAACAGATTTTGCCTAAAGAAATTAGGAAATCAGGAGAGACATGAAAGATATCACAAAAATTCTTTTGAAGTACGGTCTTGTATTATTTCAGAGAATGAAATAATAGGAGAATGAGATCAAGATTTTTTTCAAAAGCAGTTTTAGGTAATTATAAAAGAACCTTCTAGAGTTTATTTACTAAAAAGTTTATGGAAAGTGCTGTGATGGTGATGAGTTAGGAAAGGTTCAGTGACTACAGGGTCACACATTTTCACACAATCTGGGAACTTGTAAATTGTACATAACTGTCAACACAGAGAGTACTTTACATTTCATTACATTTGATAGTGTCAAATACACATTATTTTATATTACAAAATTTTAAAGTATGGAGATCACTATGGGCTTAAATAGCCAAGAAGTTACAGAGGAGCGTGAAGAATAGAAAGGATTTAAACAAAATTCAAGGATGGGAAGAGCATTTAAAAAGACACAGGGAAGGGCCAGGGATTTAGCTCAGTGGTGACGACACCTGCCTTGCAAATGCAAGGTCCAGAGTTCGATCCCTGGTATCAAAAAAACCCCAAAAAACCAAAACGACACAGGGAAGAAGGGCCAAGGCATTTTCAAGACATCAACAGGCAGATATGGCTGGAGTAAGATGCTAATGCAGCAAACCACTGTGAGACAATGGAAGGGAAGTGTGCTGTGTCAAATCAAGAAGAACTCTGAATAGGCAGGGGAGTCTGAACTTCAATAGTGGGATTTCAATTAAGTTTTCTGAAAGAATAGTAACAGTGGTTTTGCTGTTTTAGCTAGATTGGTCTGATGGAGTACAGAATGGACTGAAGGGAAAGGAGATAAACTAAAGTCAGGAGAAAAGAGGACAGCAGACTAGCAATAGTGGGAATGTAAGAAAGATTACTTAGAAAGAATAATGCCTTCAACCAAACATTCAGAACAAAGGAGGAGGAATCAAAGATGGCTCTGAGAACTAACACAGACACAACAGGGAAAATGTTAGGCACATGAAAATAAAGACCCTTCGGCCGATACAGGCATTTAAAGTCTTGGGGTCAATATACAACAAAACGTTAGTTATATTTCCTAGTAAAACTGGCTAAGAAGTACTTGTCACTTAAAACACCACTCAAATAAAGAACTATGTAAACAACTCCCTTTATGTAGGGATTAGGTTGGGCTCACCAAAGCTTAAATTGGTGTGTGCAGCGATTAAGATAAAAAGAAAGTAAAACTGTATTTCAGATCTTCAGAGGAAAGGAACAGTGTTCTGCCCTTCTGAGCCAAGTGTCTGCATGCTCTTTAATTGATTTCCATTCTTCTCTCAGGTCATAAGGCAATCTAGTCTTAGAGTAATCTCTAGAGAAGCACACCAACATCAAGTTAAGCAGGACTGTCTACTGCTAAAGGAGGGAAATTCTCATCATGTCTCAGGGTTGAAAGAGGCACAGCTGTAGGACAAAAGCAATGAAAAAGGAATTCTACAGATGTACTTGGCTTTATTTAGTTCACTTTTGGAAGCCATTAACGGGAACAATGTGATAAATCACAAAGTAAGGGTGCATACGGTATTATCAGTAGGACAAGTGTAATATTAGAATAGCACATATATAGAAAATTTATGGTCTTAGTCACTTTCCACTTTGCTGGGACAATATACTCAAAACCCACAACCTAAAGGAGAGGTTAATTTTTGGCTCATGTTTACAGTCTATGACTGGCAGGGTCCAAGGCAGGGCAGTATGGCAGAGGGGCCTGGCAGAGGAGAAGCTGCTCATGTCATGGTGGCTGGGAAGCAGTCTCAAGGGAGGAGCCCAAGGGAGTTACAACCTTCCAGGCCACACCTAGTGACCTGATCTTCCAACCAGGCCCGACCTCCTAATAACAAGTCAGCTACAATGCCCCTATAATCTAATCACCTTCCAAGGTCCGGCCTATGATCACATGAGGCTTTGGGGAGACGGCTAGATATAAACCATAACATTTTGCCCCTGGCTCCCAAAAAGCTCATGCACATCTCTTTATGCAAAATGCATTAAGCACATCTCTAAGAGTTGCCAAAGTCCTAACAGTTTTAGCACTGCTGAAAAATCCAAGTCCAAAGCCTCCTCTGAGTCTCAAAGCAAACTTAGCTGTGAGTCCCTATAAAAATCAAAAGGAAGTAGGCTGGGGATTTAGCTCAGTGGTTTCGCCGCCTGCTGCGCAAGCGCAAGGACCGGAGTTCGATCCCTGGTACCAAAAAAAAAAAAAAAATCAAAAGGAAGTAAACACTCATTTCTAATAAACAATGGCACAGGATAAACATTCCCATTCCTAAAAAAAAGGAACAGAGTGATAGAAACCAATGGGATGGAAATCCGGCAGGGCAAACATTAAATCCCATAGTTCCATGTCCAGCACCTGGGGCAAGGTGTGGCAAGATGTGAATTCCAAAGGGTTCAAGCGAGTGGCTCTGCCTCTATAGCACTGCAGGTAGATGCAACTCTTGTGGCTTCTCTCTTGGGTAGGTTCTGCTCACTCCTTACGGCTTTCTTTAGATCCTGCTCATTGGTGACCTCTCCACCACTCTTTTTTTTTTTTCGGTATCAGGGATCGAACTCGGAACCATGCATTTGCCAGGCAGGCGGCAGAACCACTGAGCTAAATCCCCGGCCCCTCCACCACACTTTTGACTTCACTCTCACAGCTTCATACATTGCCCTCACAGGGGCATACTGCCTGGCTTTCCAGGTCTTCTGCTGAAATCTGGGAGAGAGTTTCCCTGACTCAACATTCCTATAAAAAACAGCATCTGCATGCCTGTAAAAACAGCATCACATGGATGGCACTAAGATCTGGCACCAGCTCAAGCAGTAGCCAAGCCTGCTTGAATCATTGCTGTAGAGGGCTCTGAGTGCCTGGATGGCTGAGCACTGTGAACTGAATTTGGGGAACAAATCCCCTAGGCAGCCTTTCTCAAGTACAGAGGCTTGGGGTTCTCTTCTCAAAACCAAGTGCTTCACTTTCACAATTTTGACCCTGCCTGAAGGGTAGGGCCTTGCTGGTTCCTCACATGCCCTCAACACATCTTTCCTACTGTCCCCTTGTGAAGTACCTGACTCCTCTTTAATGCTAATCTTTTCAACAAGGAAGCTCTCCTCTACTCCAATTTTGCCTGCCTTTCCTTCTTGGGAAGTTGAACACTTCACATTTTTTTTTTTTTTTTTGGTACCGGGGATCGAACTTGGGTCCTTGCACTTGCACAGCAGGTGGCAAAACCACTGAGCAAAATCCCTGGCCCTGAACACTTTTCAAATAGGCTTTTTTCTCCTGACTATCAGTATATACATGGATAAAAGCAGCAAGAAGTATCCATGCTACAGCCTGAACACCAGACAGCCTTGAAATTTCCACCACCAGTTTAATTAGTCTATTTCTCCTAATCTCAGTTTACTGTCAGGGCACAAGTAAAAATTTTTTTTGGTACCAGGGATTGAACTCAGGACTTTGCACTTGTTGGGCAGGCAAGGTACCCTGAGCTGCATCCCTGGCCCATAGACAAATTTTCTATCAGAAAATAACACATAGCCTAGAGTCCTTGATCCCAACTGAAACCTCCTGAGCCTAGTCTTCACTGTCTGCACTGCAATCAGCATTTTGGTCTTCTGAGCTCCAACCAGAATCTCCTATCAAGTTTGGCTTATAGCATTCTACAGCTGATTCTCAGTCAGCATCTCCAAACATTTCCAAACTCCTCCGGAAAGTCAGTTCCAGACTTCTAAACCAGATGGTCAAGTAGAGTCACAGTGACAATCTCACTTCTGGTACCAAGATCTGTCTTAGTTACTTTCTTTGTCACTGGAATACAATACCCAACACCCACAACTTAGAGGAGGAAAGGTTTATTCTGGTTTATGTTTATAGTCCATGATTAGCTGATGCCAAGGCGGGACAGAATGACAGAGGGGCATGGCAGAGGAGAAGCTGCCCATGTCACGGTGGCCAGGAAGCAGACTCAAGAGACTCCCAGGAAGGGAGTGATAACCTTCCATGTCATGCCCACAATGACCTGCTTTTCTAATCAGGCCCCACCTTGTACCATCAAGCCAGCTGTAAGACCCCTATATTCCAATTACCTTCCAAATGTTCCACCTATGATCAAATGAGGCTTTAGGGGTCCATCTAGGTATACACCATAACAATGTACAAATGATATAATCTGTATACTATAAAGAGTGTCTAGGGGACTATTTAAAATTTATCTATCTGGGCCGGGGATTTAGCTCAGCGGTTCCAGCGCCTGCCTTAAAAGCTCAAGGTCCCAAGTTCAACCCCGGTACCCAAAAAATAAATAAATAAATAAATAAATAAAATTTATCTGTCTTCCAATTATAAAGAGTTAAATGCTTTTTTAAAAAAAAAAAAAGAGTTAAATGCTTATTATATTAAACTGCAAAAATTAAAAACAAAACCCAGAAAACAGGCAGGGGCAACTGCCCACAATGTCATTACCTCAAACATGTTAGTATTATTTCTTGTTTTTTTACCTTAAAAAAATCATACTTGACCCCATATACAGTTTATACTCTGCTTTCCCCATGTAGAGAAAACTCCTCACAAAATTTAATTTGAAATGACTGTACAATAAACCATGTGGATATAATAACAGTGAAGGATTTCTCATTGAACAAATACAATATACTGCAACCTTGTATGAACTTTATAACTGCCAAAACATATTCACTTCTCTTAATCTTTATAAGTAGGCAATGCTTATTAATTTTACAGAAAAATAGATTAAAATATGAAGATGTTAGCAACTTAGTCCACACAACAGCTTTATGTGGTGATGCGTGATTAAAAAAAAATTCAAGTCTGATAATCTGAACAGTTTGCTCATCTTTAGAGCGCTATCCTCTAAAGTAACTGCCTCCCCAACCTTAAGAGCACATAGCACTAAAGTATAACATGCTCAAAGTGGATCTTCTTCTACTGTCCTCCGCCACTCCCCTCAGAAGGCCCAAGGCTGCCATTTAAAAATAGCTGGTTAAGTGACACTTCATTTCCAGGGAGCAACGTTGTTACAATACCTTCAGGTTATGTATGATGTCTATCCGCTTGTTCTGGCTGTCCTTAAAGTGCACTTGAACTCTCACAGGAAACTCACCCCAGCCTCTTCTGGTCAGGTGAAAAGGAGGCTCTCTAGGGAAAAGCAGATGTTTATACATTCACTCATGTTTGTGCTCTCATCCCAGAGATAAAAAGTATTCTTATAATAGATAAGAAATGCATGTCCTAAAAAATCACTTAGGTTTCCTTATATGACACTAAATCAACATGCTGAATTTTGCTAAAATGCTAAATTATAAAAGAAAAATCCAACTCAAAACTATATTAAACTCCCAATTACTGAATGCTTATAGCTGTCATTTCCATATACAAGGGAGCTAAGATGACTGATGAACATCAAACTACAGAGCCAAAACTCTTGACTGACACCTGACGGGCAGAGGCAACGTGAGGTCTATGTTCCTACCCCCGATGCAAAGACAGATAAATCATCAAAATGCTCAACTGGAAAGTGACAAGTTACTTGAAACTGTCTGCTAAAGGGCTTAAAATAAAGATCATTATGTTCACAATATGATCTTCCCCATATAGTGGCTATGATTTCAGTAAGTAGAAGAGAATGTATGAGAAAGATAACTGGACTAAAGAATTCTTAGTTGTAAAGAGAAATTAATGGGACAAGATTGGCAATATTACTAGTTGTGATGGGTATATGAAGGATCAATATACACATTATGTTTGTATGTGGGTGAAATTTTCCATAATAAAAAGTTTAGAAATTTAAAACTAAAGACATATGATTTCAGTAAGGGCAGAGTTCAAGAGCACAACCTGAGAAAAGTTAACAGATCTGAGTTAAAAAGCACAGAACCAGGAGCTACAAGAAAAGCCCAAGACATGAAAATCCTCACTATGACAGCAGCCTAGAAAGCGAAGAAAGCAACACTGTGTTACAAGCTAGAGAGAAAAGAAAGCAAAGCAAACCAGGATGGAAGAAGCCAGCTGATGACAGTAGAAATTCAGGCTTGGGGTCAATGAGAAGGTAGACCAGGAAGAATCTGAAAAGGGATCCATTGCCAAAAACACAGGGGGCCTACAGGCATGGTGGAATAAAGAGTAATTAATGGAAATTCTATAGGTGGCAAGTCTGGTCACTTAAATTCCAGTGAAGGTAAAAGGATAGTCTAAACTCACTTCATAATATGGCTCAATGGCTAACTTTCAGTGAACAGACAGGAAGGACTGCAGCCAGGAAGGACACAAACAAATAGCACAAAGTAAGGAAACGGGAACAATGCTTTTTTAACAGGAAATTTCTCCATAACCGTATTTTTGGAAGCAGAAAGAAATCTACCAACAGAGAAGCAATTCTGTAAACCAAACGATGTTATTGAACACAAAAAAGTTCTGCCTGCCCTGAACAGAATTCTGTATTTCTAGATTCCTCACAGAAAATGAAATGTATCAATGACCAAGAAGCAAAAAATCACAAGAACCCAGAGCTTAAAAAAAAAGAGAAATAGAGAATGGAATACAACTTCCTCTTCAACTCATTGATTAAAATGGCCAACCAGTCTTTCGAGATGACTTGCAGTGACCTGAATTCACCACTTACTGATTTGGGAATAGCTGTTATAAAAACACTTCCTCTACCTCCTGCATGACAATTCTTGATATGACATTTAGAATCACAAAAAATAAATTATTTCTCCACATGAAAGACCTTCAAGAGAACTAAAATACTAAACTAAGCTTTTCCAGGATAAACATCTCTGAGCAGCACTCACAGTGTCTCCTTGACCCAAACACTGATTGAAGGTCTATGGATCTATTAACTTACCTAATCCTTACAACCACACTGAACTGTACCTTTTGAGATGCAGTGAATTGGCATAACGAACTTTCCAATTGAATAAGTGGACAACCAGGATTCAAACTCAAGCAATAGGCTGCAGGTGCCATGTTTTCAACACTGGGCCAGCCCAGGTCCCAGTGACAGCAGATCTTACTACACAGACCTCCCTCCTTCCTATGTACAGTGTAGCCTGCTACTGCCCAACTGGTGCAGGACACAGCATGTCTACTTGATGTCTAGCAAGGCAGCTTAAAACTGCATTATGATACTAACTTATAGGGATGGGGAAGGGGACATTGCCAGAACCTCTGCAGTGGGTCCTGGCCTCCTATGAGCCACTATAGTGCAAGGTGAATTAAAGAATAAAGACAGGAAACTAGTTAGAGTGAAGCAGTCTTGGGACCTGATTAGTATTGCTTTAGGCAGCAAACACAAAGGCCCCCAAGCGCATCCAGTATTTATCCAATACAATCATGGGAAGGAGTAGGGAGCCATGTATACTTTGAAGGCATCTAGTGAAATATTGCCAAACACCTGGATGATGGTGCCAGGCAGGGCTGTCAGGGAGTAAGCACAATGCTTATCTTGCTTGGGACCAGGTGCATTTAGCAGGCAACCCATCGGGTCAGTGAGAAGCCATAAATCAGGGGAAAGGATTTTAATTGGGGTCACACTGACCTCAGCTGTACATAACTCTGCAGATCCCTGCCACTTCAGGCCAGGGCCTGGGTTTCCATGGTAGCCATTGGGGGATGGGCTATACTCGCCCAGTCTGCCAACTGACATGCCCATTTGAGTCATGTAGAGCTTTGGTCTGACTCCTGATATAAAACAATATAGCAGAATTATGGAAAGCAAGAAGCAGGTGCCACTCATAGCCCTCTAGTACTGGACAGGGATGTCTGCTACACTAAGTAATTAGTTTTTACTTTCTGATTCTTCGAAAATTTAAAATTACACATGTGGATCAGAACACATTTTTATTGGACAGTGCTGCTCTAGAGAGTTCCTACATTTGAGCTAAATGCGAACAGACACACATATTCCAACAAGTGTCACAGGATATTACCTGGGGACCTAGGCCACTCTAACCTCACATGCAAGGCCAAGAGGACTCCATTAAACTTCTCAAAGGCCCAGGCCCTTGTGTTCTTCATCTTTGCAATCCCAGCATCAACCCCTGAATCTAGCACATATTCAGTGACTATCTTGTGCCTAAAAGCAAAATTTGCAACCACAGCTTTTAGGAACTTGGCTAAGGGTGGTCATGACAACTAAACCACGTATGTAAAAGATGCTTTTATGCAGGATCTACCCCTGTTCATCAGATAACGTGGTAAGAAGATTCAAAGGGCGTGAGAAAAACATTTGCACTCTGATCCAAAAGTGAGATTAACGCCACGTTTCAAGGCAGCAGCAACAGCCCTCTCCTATTCATCAATTTAATTTTGACATTCAACACAGGAAACAGCTTTGGAGTCCTGTAAAGAACATAGAGTTATAATTAAACCTAGGTCACATGTTAATAGTTCTATCCTACTTTATAATGGCCACACCATATCTGGAGTATTAAGTTCAACTCTAAGAAGAATATTTTAAGAGGAATACAGTAACTGGAAGACTATATATTCCAAATGGCAAAGGAGCCGAAGTCATACGAGCAATGACTGAAACATCTATAGGTATTCATTTTGGAGACAAGAAGACCCAACAAATGCTTTCGAATATCTTAACAGCCATTATATGGAAAAGGTATTTCAATAATTCTCAGTTGTGTCACACGCATAGGAGAGCTTACTGCTTAGGAGTAAGAGGAAGTTTGAACTCTGCTCAATTTAATTAAAAACTTCCAGACAAACATGGGAAGGATTGCCTATAACGGAATGGCCCATTTCATGAAATTAAATGATTTATTCAGCATCAAGACCACGAAATAAACATTTACTTGATGCCAGAAACTATGCTAGACCCTGGGGACAGTGAGACAAATAAAACAAGGTCCTAAGCATCAAGAAACTCAAGGTCTTGGGCCCGGGATTTAGCTCAGTGGTGCCACCGCCTGCCTCCAAAGTGCAAGGTCCCAAGTTCGATCCCTGGGTACCAAAAAAAAAAAAAAAAGCAGCTCAAGGTCTATTAAGAGAGACATATATGTAAACCATTAAGTATAATAGCTCAGTGTGGCTGCACACGCCTTCAGTCTCAGCTACTCAGGAGGCTGAGGCAGTAGGATTCCAAGTTCAAGGCCAGCCTGTCAACTTGCCAAGACCTTGTCACAAAACAAAATAAAATAAAAGCTAGGAATGTACCTTGGTCATAAAGTGCTTGCACAAGTTTCTGAGCACCACAAGAAAGACTAACTAATAAACTGCATTATACGGTATACACCACTTTCAATAACACAGCAAATGATTTCTCCAGTTTTAAAATAAGATGCATACAAGCAAGGGTGTCTTTTAAAACAATATTTGAAAGTCCTAACTTTGGTGTTAATACAGTATGACTCACTTTGGGTCACCTTGGTAGGCTGTGAGAAACTAACTGGTTAGTTATGTCACAGTGGCCAATCTACACAGTACTGTCGGAGTGGCAAGGGTTGGACTGAAAATAACTACTAGTGTTATTTCAGTGATGTAAAAGCCCCTAAATTTCACGAAACAAAGTTCATATGCTATTAGCAGAGGACACTGAGGAGGTACAAAAGCAACAAGAAATGGGAAAAGTTTGCGTTTGGGGTGACCTTTTCTTTGTGCCTCCTCAGACTGCTATATCCCACAAAGATTTGGGGTTTTTCTTTTGTCTGTTTTTTGTTTTCTTTTCTATTTTTTTGGTACCAGGGATCGAACTCAGGTCCTTGTGCTTGCGAGGCAGGTGGCAGAACCACTGAGCTAAATCCCTGGCCCTTGTTTTCTTTTTTTGAGACAGTGTCTTGGTTTGTAGTGCTGGCTGGCCCTGCTCACTGTGTAGCCCAGGCTGGCCTCAAACTTGTGGCGATCCTCCTGCCTCAGCCTCTCGAGTACTGGGATTACAGGTGTGCACTACTAAGCTTGGCTCTGTAAAGAGATTTGCCAACTCTTTTCCTGTAGTTCAGTAAGATTTCTCAGTAAATACAATCTGATACAATACTGTATGGCTTTTTATTGCAATGTTAAGGAAATCAGAATGTTTTACAAACTGTAATTCTTTGTTTTGAGTATGGAAAAATAAAACAGGCATTGGTTTGTATTAGCAAGTGTTAAAAGAGTTTTATACGGGGCCGGGGATTTAGCTCAGTGGTACCGCATCACGCAAGGTCCTGAGTTCGATCCCCAGTACCAAAAAAAAAAAGTGATTATAGCCGGGCATGGTGGCACATGCCTGTAGTCCCAGCACTGGGGGTGCTCAGGCAGGAGGATCACCACAAGTTTGAGGCCAGCCTGGGCTACATAGTGAGTTTCAAGGCCAGCCTGAACTAACAGTGAGACCCTGTCTCAAAAAAACTTCAATCAATCAATCAATCAATCAATGAGTGAGTGAGTGATAAGCCAGACATGGTGGCACACACCTGTAATCCCAGCATTCTAGAAGGCTGAGGCAGGAGAATTACAAATTCAAACAGTCTGAGAACTGAGTGAGTCCATGTCTCAAAATAAACTATTTTTAAAAAAGGGCTAGGACTACATACAGCTCAGTGTGAAGGGTTCAATTCCCAGGACTGGTGTGTGTATGTGGGGGTTGTAATTATTAATTCAGTGCAATTCTAATCTGTAAATAGACAGTATGATTCCAAAGTAATTGGAGCAAACATGTATACTCAGGAATGGCCAAGAAAAAAATTTTAAAGAATAATAATAAGACCATACACTATGAAATACAGAATGTGCTATAAGGCAAAACAAGTAAAGTAGTGCAATGCTGTTTTAGGAAATAAGTATTACTAACCGAGGCTAGAATCAAAGGTGTATCTATGTGAGAATTTAGTGTGTATCAGAGAAAGAACAGATAAGTTGCTAGTTGAAGTAACTAGTATCTATATGAAAATGATAAACATACTGGGATGTATCCACCTATAAAAACCTCATTTCCAAGCTGAGTGTGGTAGTGCACGCCTGTAATCCCAGCACTTGGGAGGCTAAAGCAAGAAGACTGCCATGAGTTCAAGGCCAGCCCGAACTACATAGCAGCAAGACCCTGTCTCAAAAAACCAAGCCAAACAAAACCAAACGAAATGAAGCAATTTCATCTTCAAGTGTTCCACTTTATAACCACCAACTTTCCCAGCTCCATTCCTTGAGTGCTCCTGGGACTTGCAATGCTTGCCACATAAATTTTCACTATCCATCTCTGCTCTTTTTTCCTCAGCTTAAAGTCTACCACAAAAATGACCTACTTATTAATGTGAGAAAGTCAGCGAAACAACAGACCACGGTTTTGAGTGAATAGCCTGTAAGGATGTCAGAGTCCGTAAGACTGAGGACTAGAGTACTACTGATAGAGACACAAAAACCAGGCGCTAAGGCCGATTCTGAAAGAGGGGATTAGTGGACAACTGCAACAAAGGGACAGCAGGGCTTTCCCAGGACTGAGGCTTTATTAGGGAGAAAGGGGCAAGGTGGCCTGGAAACCACAAATATGACAAGACCCCTACCCCTTTCCTAGACCCAGTAGTACAGGTGTGAGGAGACAGAACAGTCCCTACTGAAAAGCATTCTCAGGAGACAGCTATGCTTGGTCCAAGAGTCAGGAGTGAAGGGATGTCTGCAGAGCAGAAGGCACAGGAGACTTCAGAGGATTCACTGCAACCAGCTCCACAGCACACTCAACAAAGGGTACATGGTAGGTGACGCCACACAGATGTGAAGGGTACAGTTACACGGTACACACCGACGCCACAGTCACACGCCTATGATCAGCCCTTTGTGAAATGACAACTATGGAAGATCAGTATATGTATTGGAAAAGCATCACTGGGGGTACTTCTGACAAGAGATTATGGGAAACTCAACATTAAATATTTCTGGAATGTCAAAATCCTGTATTAATTGTTACACGTAAAAAATGGTAGAATTTTATATGCATCTCTATATAAACAAATTTAGGTATTTACAGTGGGGAACAATCAGCTAAAATCATCAGCATGGTGGCAAATCTGACAGAAGGTGACAGTGTCTGCTCAGGGAGATCGTAATGTGCAAGAGGAAAGCAGAGCTACAACTATATTGCAACTAAGAGCCAACACTAAGTAAATTATTAATAATACAAAATTTCCATGGAATGTTCTGAAGTTAAATTGCTTTCTCACACTTCAATAACTCTACTTCTTAGCTGCATAGCTCAAGCGTGCTCACCTAACTTCCACAAGGTCATTTGGTTTATAGCTGGGATGAAGGAAGAACCACACTTTTTTGACAAAATGATTAATGCTGGGTTCTCTACGAGACCCTCGAACATACACCATCCACTTGTGGGTTGACTGGTCATTTTCTTCTCTCTTATCTGGCGGTATGTACCTGGAGGAGAAAAAAAACAAGAAAGGAAGCTGAATTCTTTTTTCCTTCAAAATCTAACAATAATAATAAATTCCTACTTAAAACAAGATTAAAATTCCAGCAATATTTAACAGCTATTATCACCTAACCAAACAAAGAAGCCAGGCACAGTGGTGCATGCCCGTAGTCCTAGCACTCAGGAGGCCAAGGCAGGAGGATCGCTGTGAGTTCGAGGCCAGCCTAGGTTACCAAGTGAGTTCAAGGCCAGCCTGAACTACATAGTAAGACCCTGTCTCAAAAAACAAACAGAAAACCCCAAACAAATAAAACAAAGAATCTTTGTAGTTAATCATTTCATGTTGTCTTTTTTTTTTTTTTTGGTATCAGGGATCGAACTCGGGTCCTTGCACTTGCAAGCAGGCAGAGGAACCACTGAGCTAAATTCCCGGCCCTCATGTTTTCTTTTTAAAACTTTTCTTTTTTTTCGGTTTAAGTGGTATTACTCAAGTTTGTTTTCTGATCATCAGTCTGAGATTTAAAAAAAAATATATCAAACTTGTTTTTCCTGTCAAGTGGGTATGTGGGGTGGAAATAAATAAGCATATTTTTATTCCTGGGTTATGGAGCCTCAGGAGGGTAAAATATCGGGTCCTTCTGGTGCCGAGCAGTGCTACCGAGACAGCTGTACCTCGTTTCTTGCCCTCTGAAAGTCCAAATAAGCCATTCCATGTTCTGAGCATGATAAAACTAGCATGTGAGGCCCTGACCTTTAGGGACCCTGTGTTCATTTCAGTTTATGAGGGTTCCTTCTTAGATTTTGGGGGGAAATATGGTCATGGTCCTCTATATGCTCACCTATCACTATGGTTCCTCTTAGTAATGCAAGAGGCCATGGTGCCTAATCTAGTCCTTCAGGAGTGGTCTTGTTCAGGCCTAGCACTTTGCTCTTCCATGTATGAGATCTAGCAAGCTGGGAGAGGTGGAGTATCCCTGTAATCCCAGCACCTGGGAGGCAGAGGGATTGGGAGTGTGCGGCCAGCCTAGGCTACACAGTGAGTTTAATGCCAATCTGGACCATACAATGAGAATGTCTCAAAAAAGAAAAACAAAAAGAACTAGCCTGTGAATTTCATAAGCTTGTTGGGCCTTTAACTGGAATATCTAACAGAGCAATTTGAGGAGAAGTAACTTTACAATACTTTGCCTTCCTATCCATGAACCTGACATACTTTTCTTTAAAAATAATTTTTTTGAACCTGACATACTTTCCTAATTATTTAATAAGTATGTTTATCTTTACTGCTAAATATATCTTTTGAAATAGCATTTTTTCTAAATGTGTAGGGTGTCACAGAAACAACTGACAATGTAGTTCTAATTAGTTCTTTGATGCTGTCAATAAAATTTTTAAGTCTTCATGAAGGTCTCATCTTTTGATTTATATTTTTACTGGTAAAATAAATGTACCTTTTGAAATGTTTTCTAAATGTGTGACTGTCATTCAGAAACAACAGACTTCTATGTATTGATATTCTTCAGTATTCAGTGGTCTTGTTCACTGGTTAACCCTAAAAATCATCAATAGCTGTTTTAGATTTTTCTATGCAATCATATCATCTATGAGTCACACCAACAAATATCAATGGCATTTGTTTTATTCTTTTCCAATTTTTTTCCATTACTGGGGATTGAACCCAGAGCCTTTGCACTGAGTTACATCCCTTCGTCCTTTTTTGTTTTTGTTTTTTGGGGGTACCGGGGATCGAACTCGGGACCTTGGGCTTGCGAGGCAGGTGGCTGAACCACTGAGCTAAATCCCTGGGCCCCTTTTTTCAGTTTTTGAGGCAAGAGCTTTCACTAAATTGTCTAGGCAGTGGTCAAACTTGGAATCCTCCTACCTCAGCCTCCCAGAGTGCTGGGATTCCAGATGGGCCACCCGCTGGGCTCCTTTCTGATCATTAATACTTAAAACAGAACAGGGCCAGGGATTTAGCTCAGCACCACCATGCCTGCCTCGCAAGCACAAGGTCCTGAGTTCACTTTCCTGTACTGCAAAACAAAAAACACTGACTACACTAGTATATCCAAGTGCAGTGTTGAACAATAATATTATTACAGGCATCTCTTGTCTTATTCCTGATCCCAAAGAAAAGCCTTTTAGTAATTTACCAGTAACTATAATTACTATAGGTTTTTGTGGGGGTTTACTACAGGTTTAAAAAAAAAAATCTGAGTTAACTAAATTCCGAATTTACCAGGAGAAATTTATGACAAATAAATTTATGATAAATAAATGGATGCTGAGTTCAGCAAATGTCTCTGTATCTTCTGTGGTAATTGTGTTCCTCTTCCTTTCATCTACTAATGTGTTAGTTATATTTACCAATTTTCTGTTACTTTAAATTTACATTTTTGGGGGCTGGGGGATTTAGCTCAGTGGTGCCGCCACCTGCCTCAAAAGGGCAAGGTCCTAAGTTCGATCCCCAGTAACAACAACAACAACAACAACAAAAATTTACATTTTTTCGTCATGAAGTATTATTATTTCTATGAAGTTATTGAATTCAGTTTGCTAATTACTTTGTTTAGTATTTTTACATTTATAAATGTGAATGTCCTATAATTTTCTTTCTTAGCAAGTCCTTGATCTGGTTTTACTAGCAAAGTAAAACTCCCCTTATGAAATGTTTTCTCTTTTCTCCAGAAGATTTCATATACAACTGGAATTATATACAACTGGAATTATCTATTTAATCAGCCTGGAAAGCAATCTAGGCCTGGTAGCTTGCTTGTGAGGTGAGAATACCTAAAAATTAATGATTAAATATATTCAGTGATTCTAAGTGCATTCTAGGTCTTTTCCTTATTGAGTCATTTTGATTAAGGTGAATTTTTGTAGGAATTATCATTTCATAATAGCTTGTCTATTTTTTTTTCTTAAAAGCTGCAGATTGAACCTTTTTCCTAAAAGGACCTTGTATATGCTAAGCATGTGCTTATCTCTAATAATAGTGCAGGCATCTCCAGATTTAACTTCCTTTTTCATTTCCAACATTTATTTGTGCTTTCTCTTTAATTTTACCAATGTATATATGGTGCATTTATTTTTTCTAATTTCTTATTACTTCTATTGATGTATTATTTTGTCTAGTTAAGTGAGATGCTTAAATGAAATTTAAAATTTTCGGGGCCGGGGATTTAGCTCAGTGGTTTCGCTGCCTGCTGCGTAAGCCCAAGGACCCGAGTTTGATCCCGGTTCCAAAAAAAAAAAAGAAATTTAAAATTTTCTTCTACTGCAATCATTAAGACTATAAATTTCGGGCCGGGGATTTAAGTGGTTCCGGCGCCTGCCTCGCAAGCACAAGGTCCTGAGTTTGATCCCCAGTACCAAAAAAAAAGTTTAAAAAAAGACTATAAATTTCCCTCCAGGTATCCTCTATTTATTCTGTATGTTTTATTTTAATGTGATTTTTTTCACTTACTTGTGAGTTGTTTGAAAGTGGGTTTTTTTGGTACTGGGGATCAAACTCAGGACCTTGTGGCTGCCAGGCAGGCACTGTGCTGCTAAGCTACATTCCCAGCCCTGTTTGCAAGTGTTTTGAGTTTCCAGACATAAAAAGTTTCTAATTATCCTCTTAGCACTGATTTTTAACTTTATTGCACTGTGATCAGAAAGAGTTTGTATGATACAAGTCCTCTGATATTGCTGAGCTTTCTTTATGGTCTACAGTGTAGTCATTTCTATAAATGTCACCTGTATAAAGTTTATTCATATGTGTAATACTTCATACGTGCACATTGGATCCATTTAACAATTTCTCCTGGGGTTCTGTTTTTATTTTTATTTTTTTGAAGCAGGGTCTCACTATGTAGCCCAGGGTGGCATTAAAGTTTTGATCTTTCCTTCCTCAGCCTCTCAAGTACTGGGAGCTGGGATTATAGGCCTGCACCACCATGCCTGGTTCTGGTTTAGACATTTAAAAACTGCATTATCAGGTAAAAAGAATAGAATTTTTATGTTTTTTTGGGGAGGGGGGAGTGTACTGGGAACTGAACTTCAAGGTCTCTGAACTTCAAGGTCTCTGCACTGAGCTAAATCCCCAGCAATTTTTTATTTTGAGACAGGGTCTTGTTATGTCACTAAGCTGCCTAGGCTAGGATCAAACCTGTGATTCTTCCTCTCAGGTTCAGAGTGCTGGGTTACAGGTGTGCACCACCATGCCCAGACTAGTTTTTTTTTCTTAGTGAAAAGAAACTTTTATCACTATGTAGTAACTATCTTTAGCTCCATCAATGGTTTTAGTCCATTTAGCCTGTTATTTATATGCTACACTGATATTCTCCTGGTTTGTTATGTGCCAGGTATATCTTTTCCTCTTTACTATTTTATTTTTTCACACAGGGTCTTACTAAGTTCCCCAGGCTAGTCCTGAAGTCTTGGCTTCAAGCAATCCTCTGCCTCAGCCTTCCAAGTACCTGGGACTATAGGCACATGCGGCTGTGCCTGGCTAATCCTTCTAGATGTAGATGTGTCTCTGATAAAGAGAGCTGAATTTTAGCTCAATCTAACAATTTCTACCTTTCAACTAGACAAACCCATATGCCTTTTTGACTTTTTTTTTTTTTGGTACCGAGATCGAACTCGAGACCTTGCATTGCAAGGCAGGTGCCGGAACCACTGAGCTAAATCCCCAGCCCCCACATGCCTTTTTATGACAGCTAACCTAGTCAGGTGTTATTAAATCCTTCAATACCACTTGTTTTTTCTCCTCTCTATACCCTTGCTTCAACCCTCCACTACCTTCTGAAATTAGTTTTTTCCTTCTTTTAGTTTCTCTTACTAGCTTGAAAGTTTACATTTTTTTGTTTTTATATCTTTTAGTAAGTTTAAATTTTTATGTTTATACTTTTAAGGTATCTTAGATATCATAATATTCTTAGCAAAATCTAAAACCAATCAATATTTTTAATCTCTTCCAAAAACACTAGAGTGTTCTTATGCCAACCATTCATGCTACTTAAGATGCACGGTTAATGAGTAAGTTAGTTGCAGCATTTTAAAATTTAAACACAAAACTAAAAACCTACATACTATGATTTGAAAACCTACATAATGATTTGAAAAACATGAATGACTCTTTATCCCCAAGCTTCTTGTGGCCTGGTGGTTCTATCTGGATTTCCAGGTTGGCCTTTCTGGGTTGACCTGCCTTGTACCACAGTTAAGACCATAAGTCACCTGGACTATGAGCAGAACATGTGCTAACTCAAAAACAATCTATAGGCACCAGGGATGTAGCTCAGTGGCACCTCACCTACGTGGCAAGTGCAAGGTCCCAAGTTCAGTTCCTGGTACCAGAAAAACAAAATCTATAAAGGAGATATCGGACTAAATGCTTTAATCGTATTTTGTGTTTCTAGTTAAGTTTCTATTAGATCACAAATCGTTGCCTTACTGTCCTGAGTGCTTTTTCTTTTGGGGTTGGTGGTGATGGGGATTGAACCCAGGTCCTTACCCATGCTAAGTAAGCACACTACCACTGAGCTACACACTTGGCTGTCCTGAGATTTTAACATACTTCCTTACTGTTTTATTACTGGCCCATTAAGTAGAGCTTAGAAATGTTGTATTTTTCTTTCATTTCCCTGCACTTAACTATTATAATCTCAAATCCTTTATTTTCAATAATTGAATTTAAACACAATTTTCATAACTATCAATTTGTTCATCAATCATATGTTTACTAAACATCTAGTACTATAAGGTAAAAACAAGACCTACTTCCTACCCTAAAGAGATTCTAGGGAAAAAAAATATGAAAATAGGAAATAATATGATAAAAATGATGAGAAAATATGATAAATAAAAATGATAAAAATGATATGATAAATAAGAATAAAGAAAAAACATATCTAATGAAACGTCATAAGAAAATTAGTTAAAACTGCTACTGTTTAAAATCTTGGCCACTACAACCAACTTTTTTCCAACAACTTAATCCCTTCTAAATATTTGTATCTGCTCAAAATATTTAAATAGCATAATATTCCAATAAAAATACCCAAACCTAGACATCTGATAAAAAAGGAAGACCCTCCCACAAGTCAGCACGAGATCACTGCTACAGAGACAGCTCTCCATCTTGGAAGAACTCTGCCCTCAAGATCTGCTCTGCAGCCTTCTGTTTCACCTTTACAACACTTCTGTCTGGACAGGTAAATCAACATTTTTAGGAATTAGCTAAGGCCCCGAGGACAGAACTAAGTTAGAAGTCGAAAGTTCTTCCAAATTTACAGCCCTGATGAAATATACATGTATAAGAGCTTGTGTCTCAGACATCTTTACCACATACAATTTTATTCTAAGTCAAAGACTGGCAGACACACTAAAAGTCTTTGGATCTTAGTTTACTTTTGAAATGACTTCAAGTTCAGGAAAACAATTCCCTGTGGCCTCTTCTTACTGTGACACTAGGGTAAAAAAAAGAGTACTCATGCCAAAGTGTTCAACATGTATGGATGACTGCAAATGAGACCTTGTCTACTCTGTTCTCAGGTCACAATGACTTGTAAGAGTTAAACCTCTGGCCTCCTGACAGGGTCTCTAAAAAGGACTTTAGGTTAGATTTTGAAGACAAAGGGAGAAAAAGGTCAAAGAAACCTACTACAGTTAAATCCTTCTATTTCAAAAAAAAACAAAACAATCTACCAACCAAACCCAAAATAGTAAAAGCTAAAAATAAACAGTATTATTCCCAGGAAGAATAATCTGGGACTCCTGAGGCTTCTTTCCTATCTATGTCAAAGACATCCCTCATAATTAGCATCTTTTATAAACTTCACATGCAAATGTAAGCAATGACTGTGCTGCCTCTTCTCTTCTTCTGGACATTCTGCAGCCAACATCTTCCCATCACCTCTGGTACTCGTGGATAAGGTGCAGGGCATATACCTTGGGAGGAAACTATCCCAGTGAAAAATGGCAGAGCTTGATTCAAACTGACTTTGCTTACTCTAAGTCAGTCTCTGGACCATGGGTTACTTTTGAAACAGCTAAGAGCTTAGGAAAAAGCATTCCTGAAGAAAGGAGTGCTAACATGCTCACGATGGGGTGGGATTAGTATGTCTCACTGCAGGGCAGCTCCCAGCTGCCCCCTGGTACAGGCAGGCGGGAAGGTGTTAATACCAAAGTCTTAATATGAACGGACTGCTGAAAATCATACGATTCACCCAATACTCACTTGGACACATTGCCTACTACTATTGTTTTCTTCACAAAAAGTCGTGAAGTCTCGTCTCCGGTGAGATCAGCATTCCGCTGTTCCGTTTTATGGGAACCAGTAACACTAGAAGTGTCCTGAAAGAAATCATAATTGATGTTAATTTTCATTCTGAACAATTTTCAACAGGATAGAAGCCACAAAATCATGAAAGCTATGGATGGAATTATTCAGAATTTTTTAATTGCAAAATTCTCTGGCTTTTGAGTATCCCTCTCAAAGCATGAAAAATTAATTTACTCTAAGTATTATACTAATTTATAACATTTGTGTACTGAAATTCCATGTGTTTTTAATATTCATATACATCTGCTGTATATGTGCAAACACAACATGGAAAGATACACAAGAAACTTGTACACTGGTTATCTCTGGAAAATGGAAATGAGAAAAGGAGTCAGTGAAATTTTCTTTCTTTTTTTTGGTACCAGGGATTGAACTTGGGTCCTTGCGCTTGTGCAGCAGGCAGCGAAACCACTGAGCTAAATCCCTGGCAAAATTTTCTTTTTAATCTTCTGGAGTATTCAAAAAATTTTGATCCCAGCACTCAGGAAGCTGAGGCAAGGGGATCACTCCAAGTTCAAGGCCAGCCTGAACTACATAGCAAGACCCTGTTTCAAAAAACAACACAAAATTTCAATGAGAAGAAGCACAAATGAAATGATTAAAGGTCAGACTATAGTGACAGACTGTCAGGGCTCAAATCCTGGCCCTTCTATGACTAATGTGTAATCCTGGATAATGATTCTCTCTGCCTCAATTTCCTTAAATGGTGTTGATATGTTAATAATAGCTACTTTATGACTGTTTTGTATAGTTTTTAGAAAGTGTGTGGTACACAGTTAAGTACTAAATGTTTGTTACATAAATGACCACATATTATTTAAAAGATAAGTTTCTAAGTCCTACAACTAGTATGCATGACCTAAATTGTTTTTCTTACAAAAGGAGAACATTTACAATAGTTGCTCAGAAATAATTCTAGAAAGATGTAAGTAAATTCAAACATTAAGAATTCTGATTTTTAGCTGGGCATGGTGGTGTACATCTGTAATCCCAGCACTGAGGAGGCTGAGGCAGGAGGATCAGGAGTTTGAGGCCAGCCTGAACTACACAGCAAGACCCTGTCTCAAGAAAAAACAGATCTGACTTTTAACTGTCAGCACTATGAATGACTGTAGAAAACTTACTTTTTTCTTTTTTGCCTTTCTGTACTTTACAATGTTTAACAATGAACACATATAAATTTATAATCAGAAAAATAAAAACTTTTTAAGGAAGACAATCAAATATATGATGTCTAAGTATGTAGAAAGCAACCTGGAAATATGCTCCATCCCAGAATACCAGGCTGAAAAAGCCATTGGTCTAACCCAATGACGACTCCATAGCCAAATGTTATACCAAGTTGAGAGTAGCCTGAGCAGGGAATTCAAGTTAACAAGCTGGCGGGACCAAACACTAATAAATGGTCTTTAATTCTTTTTACTATTTGTCAAATTTCCTCCAGCTCCTACAGCATTTTAGAATATAAAGTCTCACAGATGAAACTGCTGAAGAGCCTCTAGGAAGAATAAACACGAAGAGTAGGAAGGCCTCTGACAAGGCACTGAACTGCCAACGGCTAACAGCTTCTTTCCTGTTGGCGTGGATGATGGCGGGAGCTGCCCATACACTGCAGCCTAGGGGCCGGGTTTTAGCTCACTGGTTCCACTGCTTGCCTCACAAGCACAAGGTCCTGAGTTCATCCTCCGTACCAAAACAACAACAACAACAACAACAACAAATATACACTATAGCCTCAGCAATAAAATTAGAGACAGTTCTGATACTTCTGGACACATACAACTCAACTCATCAAGACTGAGTTTCCCCACTCTAAAACGAAAACAGCCTCCTCCCTAGATTACCTGTGAAGTTAAATGAAACAAATGTTAGTTCCCTTCTCCTGTGGCTCCCTCCCCCTCCACCAACTCTACCCTTCCAGTACTCCGTGGCTTCTGCTCTGCATTGTTGTTTGAAAGTCTTTCCTCCAAATCCATATTGCTGCTATTATCTTTGTCAGATAAGAAGTCATTGTGCTGTGATAAAGAATCACTTTCTGAATGATTAGCTGATGGCGTTTCTGATCTCTGATTTGTAGGAGATGACGACCTAGACGGTGATTCCAAAAATTTCTTGATAGCAGGATGATTAAAAACCATTGTATCACATGTCTTGGATCCCTAGAAAAAAATGAAACCAAGCAAATTTTAATCCAATTCACCAAAAGCAGGCAAAAACTTGATCTTTCCAAAACACTTAGCTCTGTCAGGATCATTTAAAAATCCTTCAAAATCTTCCCACACCCATAAAATAAAATCCAAACTTCTTATAATCTGCAACATCATCATCAACAACAATAGCAAAAAATCTAGAATGATGATTAGGCAAAATTTCTAACACTAAGAACTGAAGGTGTAGGATCTTCTGAAGATAAATGAGAAATATACATAACTTATGGAAAGTAAGATTTGAGTTTAAAACCATTAGGTCTCACATAACTTTACACAGAAATATCAACTGCTCTAAACAAAATATCCATTAGAAATACGAAAAAATCTACAGTATAAAACAGTGGTGGTGAACCTACAGGATGTGTGCCCCATAGCAAGAACACAGAGCCCTCTCTCAGCACGAGCCAAGAATGTGAGTTGTTTTTTTAAAACTAAAACCTCAATATTCAGGTTTAATTGTACTGTTGGCACTTTGGGATAAATAAGTGAGTTTTAAGCTGCAGTTTGGGCACTTGGTCTCTAAAAGGTTCACCATGTCTGGTATAAAACATGGCACTCACAAAGGAGTGAAATCTAACAGTAAATGCTTTAAAATCATTAATACTAATGTATAAAGTTTACCCTCAATCTAGTACAGAAGTCTAGGGCATTTTTCTATATCTTAGTTACTTTCAGCTAAAATCTGATGTGTCCCTTTTAATGTCATATACTGTAGTTATATTCCTACAAAGTCTAGCTTTTAAAATTACATTAGTCATTGAAAGAAAACTGTATTAAAATTGTTTTAGTAAAAAAGAGCCAAAGACTGGTGTTTAAAAGCAACAAAGTTCTTAACTTTCAATAATAAAGGTTTCTCAGAGCTATAAATGTTTTGTTACTGCAAGCTAAAAATAGACAGCAATCATAACAGAAAAGCATACCTAAATACTCTTAAATAAATCCTAATCAGAACATAGAAGGATAAAACCAGTGCATTTCTAGCCCATCAAACAGCACAGATCAGAACTGCTAATAGTATAGCAACAAAACATTCAATGAATAAAGAGCTCTTCAAACAGACTCGTTGCCTACAATTCATCTTACATCATGCAAATGCTAGCTCTCGAAGTCCATCCTACTGAACCCAATATTGAGCTACATAAAAAACATCAAAATCTGTCTTGGGTTGAACAATGTCCTTCTAAAATTCATGCCCACCCAGAACCTATGAAAATGACTTTATTCAGAAATAGGTCAAGGGCATGGGGTTGAGTGGCAGAGCATGTGCTGAGATGCATAAGGTCTTGGGTTCAATCCCCAGCACGGGGGGTGGGGATGGGGGAGGTGTATACAGATGTAACCAGGTTAAAATGAAGTCAAACTGGACAGTAGTAAACCCTAGTCCTAGACATCCTTAAAAGAGGGCAACTAAAGATTCAGAAAAGACACACAGGAAGAAAATATCCATGTGAAGTAAGAGGCGAAAGTCCCAGCAGCACAGCAGCTACGAAAAGGTAAGAGGCTTCTTCTCCAGAGCCTTCAGAGCGAACACTGCGCTGCTGACACTTATTTTGTACTTCTAGCCTCCAGAGCTGTGCAGTAATAAATCCCTATTGTTTTAAGCTACCAAGTTTGTGGTGATTTGTTACAGGAGCCCTAGGAAATGAACAGAGATTCTAATGTCCATTATGGGAGGCTGAGGCAGGAAGACAACAAGTTCCAACCCTACCTGGGCAACTTAGTGATTTAGTGACCCTGTCTCAAAAAATAAAAAGGACTGTTGGGCATGGTAGCGCACACCTGTAATCCTAGCACTTGGGAGGCAGAGGCAGGACTGCTGCAAGTTCAAGTCTAGCCTGAGCTACATAGTGAGTTCAGGGCCAACCTGAACTACAAAGTGAGACCCTGTCTCAAAAAACCAAAATAAATAAATAAAATAAATAAATAAATAAATAAATAAATAAATAAATAAATAGGACTGTGGACTGGGGATGTAGCTCAGTTTGAAAGCCCTGGATTCAATCTCCAGTGCCACAAAGAAAGAAAGAAAAAAAGGAACAAGCTACCAAATATAACCCATGAACCTTGATGGATCCTGGTTCTTTTTTTTGGTGCCAGGGATCGAACTCTGGTCCTTGTGCTTGTGAGGTAGGTGGCAGAACCACTGAGCTAAATCCCCAGCGGATCCTGGTTCTTAAAAAAAAAAAAAATCACCTAAGAAGATTTTGGGGGGCCAGGGATTTAGTTCAGTGGTTCCGCTGCCTGCTTTGAAAGTGCAAGGTCCTAAGTTCGATTCCCAGTACCAAAAAAAAAAAAAATTGGGGGGGCAAACTAGGAAAATCTGAGTTATCATATAATAGAAAATCCTTTCCTTGGTTATTATTATTATGAAGAATATCTTTTATGAAATGCATGCTTAAATAATTAGAATTGAAATGTAATGATGCCTGAAGTTCCTTAAAAATGTTTTAGAGAATATGGCAAAACGTTAAAACTGCTGACTCTAAGTGGTGTACAAACAGATGCTTCTTTACCCTTTTCTGTATATCTGGAATCTGTCATAAGAAGTGCAAGACTTTCAAAACAAGGTAAATCTGAAACACCACACACTGCCATCACTGGAGCAATAGGAGGACATGTAAAGTCTATCACTTCCCCAAAGCAGAAGGCTGCCCGGGAGGAGGGGCAGGGCACGTCCCAGGGAGGCCTCACTCATCTCTGTACCTTCATGACCAGGTACAGTACTGACAATCGGGAGCAGAAGGATTACGGGAACAAAAAAAAACATTACTTAGGGTTATTGACAACACAGACGACTACAGGACTACAACTGAACACAATGACATGTCCTCTTCGAAAGGCAGGCAAGGCTTCCTGAGGTCTACATACAGGTCAGTGTAGGCACCGAGTTTCCACACTGCCGTAACTTCCCCACATACATAAATGCAGCAGCCAGAGAACAAGTGACCACAGGGAATACTTACATCAGAGACTTTCAGAAGACCTGCAGAAGCGTAGTAATTTGCTACAATGCACGCCCGAAGTTTATCCATCATCCTCCGAGCTTCAATCAGGCGCTTAAAACAAGTAACTCATTACTTTAAAATGCAGCAATTGCAAGAGATTAACAATTAACAAATAAGAAATGCAAATGAGGAAAAAAAGATCAACTTCTCTAATAAAGAAAAGCAAGAAAAAAATGACATTTTTGGCCTATCAGACCAGCAGATTTAAGAGACAAAAATGTGATGGAAGGTATGAAGATACACACTGCCACAAGTTTAAGGCCAGCTACGATTACATAGTGAGATCCTGTCTCAAAAACCAAAACAACAACAACAAAAAGTATATTTGATTCATCAGACATACCCACAAAGATACTGAGCACAAGACCAGAGAGGCTTTCTCTCCGGGGATGGAATCTGAGGTAATATTTTCCCCTTAATTTCATTTTTGCTAAAAATAATATTTTTGGGCCAGGGATTTAGCCCAGTGGTTCCGCCGCCTGCCTCGCAAGCACAAGGTCCCAAAAGTTCGATCCCTGGCACACACAAAAAAATTTTTTTCCCCTGAAAAGCTATTTTTTAAAAGAACAGCAAAGACAAACCATGACTCTATCTCAACAGACTGCTTTTGCTCATAGCTCTGGTACTTTTTCAATGTATTATCATTATACCTGGTCAATGACTTCAATCTCATGTTCCTTATTCTTCATTTCAAGAGCAAACTGCTCTTTGATAATAGTCTCAATCTTCTGCACAGCAGCATCTCGAGCTATACAAAGAACACAAAACATCAAGGCCTAATTAATCTGTGGCTGTCCTGATTTAAATGAACAAGCAAAAGAAACCCTAGAAATAAGAACTATGAAGTGGAGAACCTAGTAGACAAGCCCTCAACCAACTGATGGGAAGTTAAAAATCACTAATATTGGAACAAGCTAACTTCATGCGCTTTCTGACATGATGCACTAAGATCACTACATCACTGATATTCTTATTTTTTGGTACCAGGAATCGAACTCAGGACCACCAGCTTGCCAGGCAGGCGCTGTGTCACAGAGCTACATCCCTGGCCCTATCACTGATATTCTTGCCAAAAATGCAATGCATAATGATGGTGATGTACGCTTGTAATCCTAGCTACATGGGAGGCTGAGGCAGAAGGATCTTAAGTTTGAGGTCAGCCTGGCAATTTAGTGAGATCCTGTCTCAAAACGAAACAGAAAAAAAAAAATGGGGGTCTGGAGACATAGGCCAGTAGCAGAGTACTTACCTAGCATGTGTCAGGCCCTGGGTTCATCCCCAGTACTGCACTGCTCACAATGAAACATCAGACAAGACCACTATAAACGACATTCTACAAAATAACTAGCTGTGCCATTCAAATACTATAGACAAGAAAGACGGGCTGAGGATTTAGCTCAGTGGTTCCGCTTCCTGCCTCAAAAGCACAAGGTCCTGAGTTCGATCTCTGGTACAAAAAGTACAAAAAAAAAAAAGACAGATAGCCAGGCATGGTGGTATAAGAGTGTAATCCCAGCACTCAGGGGGCGGAGGCAGGAGGAAATTCATTCTATTTTCTACAAATCTTAAAGAATGGAGGCAATTTCTACCTGAATTCTCAAGTGCTTTATGCCGCTTATTCGGAAGGGCCACAGATACATCCTCATAGTCAGGGTCAGTTTCTTTGATGGTTCGCTTGATGCCTGACATGATGACTTTCAGTTCTTCACTGTGAAGCAGTAATAAATTAATTAATAACACAATACAATACTAGCATTTATAAATGGATGTTTATACACATTAAAGGAGTAATAAATATTACGGAATACTGGCACTTAATGTTTATGTATATACAAGCTGAGTATCCCTTATTTGAAATGTCTGGGACTGATGTTTCAGATTCTGGAATTGCCACATGGACTTTTTAGGTATAAATTCCTGATCCAAATATCTGAAATCTGAAATGTTCTGAGCATCAGGTCAGCACTCAAAAGTTCCATTATCTCAGAGCACTTCAGATTTGGATTTTCAAGTTAGGGATGATCAACTACATATATACATACAAAAGAGTAAGTTTAACTTCAAAAGTTTCCCCCCAAAATTTTGTCACCATAGTCATGTATTAAAAGTATTGAGGGCCAGGGATTTAGCTCAGTGGTTTCACCGCCTGCTATGCAAGCACAAAGACCCAAGTTCGATCTCCGGTACCAAAAAAAACCCCAAAAACAAAAAGTATTGGTTTTTAGGGCTGGGGATTTAGCTCAGTGGTTCCACCGCTTGGCCCGCAAGCGCAAGGACCCGAGTTCCATAGCCGGTAACACCCCCCTCCCAAAAAAAAGTATGGGTTTTTGACAAATGGATAAAGATGTGGGCTTTTTTATACAATGGAGTACTACTCTGCCATAAAGAAGGATGAGCTTGAGACATTTATAGCTAAATGGATGCACCTTGGGACCATCTTAAATGAAATAAATTGAATATGTTTAAATACCACATTCTCTGGTGAGAGAAACTAAAAGTGGAAATAAGGACTAAAATGCACAACAGGCATTGGGAAATGGGAAGAAAATGTTCAAATGAGAAGGGGAACAAGGAAGGGGGAAGGGGGAAAAGAAAGAAGGGACAAGAAAAAACATCGAAGGAAAAATGGAAACAAAGCTCTTGTACATAAGGGAGAAAGATAGGGAAAAAAGAAGCAAAATATATCATATGCTGGTACAAATTCCCTTTGATGAATGTTACCATTATGCATATCTAAAATGTACCAATAAATGATTTTCTAAAACAAAATAAATAAGGGCCAGGGATTTAGCTCAGTGGTTCTGCCGCCTGCCTTGAAAGCACAAGGTCCCAAGTTCCATCCCTAGTACCATAAACAATAAAAATAAAATAAAATAAATAAAAGTTTGAGTTTCCCTTTCAAGCGAAAGTCTTTTAGTAAGACAGCACATTGCTCAGACTTTTTAAATGGAACTTCGCTTTCACAGAAGGACCCACATAAGAAAAGGAAATAAACTAGACTTCAAGGAAAATATTTAAGGGCACATAGTATATTGGAATTCACAATGCCTTAATAAGCATATGACAAAACATGAATGATACAGTTAATGACTCAATAAATAATTTATTATACAAACCTTGTTTCTGGTACTTACACGGAGCCCACTACATAACAGACGCTCAATAAATAATATAACTATTACTAATTATTTCCTATTACTCATAATGAATGTAAACTATATACTTATTGCTATGGTTTGGATCTGAAATGTCCCCAAAGGTCTCAGGTTTTCAGAGGTAGGGCTTTTGGAAGGTAATTGGATCATGGGGTGATATAATCCTCTATACCCAATCCTAAGTGGATTAATTCACTGATGAGTTCATAGCTGAATGTGCTTTAAGAGGTGGGGCCTGTTTGGAGGTGGTCACTGAGGGTGTGACCTGGAAGGGTATATTCTTGTCCCTGGCTCCTCCCTTCTGTTTCCTGGCTGCCATGGGTTGAGCAGTTTTCCTCCGCCAGGTCTTTCCACCATGTCATTTCTGCCTTGGAACCAGACAATTATGGACTGAACACTCTGAAATCATGAGCCAAAATAAACTTCTCCTCCTCTAAATTGTGGGTGGCAAGTATTTTGTCTCTGTGATGGGAAAATGACGACTAATACATTTAATATTAAGCTACTTAACAAGTTTGAAATTTGATAAACAAGGTCTAAGAGGCAGACATTGTGGCACAGGCCTATAATCCCAGCACTTGGGAGTTCGAGGCCAGCCTGGGCTATGGAGTGAGTTCAGGGCCAGCCTGAACTACAAAGCGAGACACTGTCTCAAAAACCAAAAAATAAAAAATAAAAAACCAACCTAACAACAACAACAACAAAAACCAACAAAAAAACAAGGCCTAGATGTACAAGTCTCCGAATAAAAGAGCCCTGTACAAGGACTGGGGATTTAGCTCAGTGGCGCCACACCTGCCTCAAATGCTCAAGGTCCTGAGTTTGATCCCCGGTGGTGGGGAGCGGGGATGGAAGAGAAGAACACCCCTGAACAAGTCTCTGAATAAAATTTTTAAGGTTCTCACTGTCTCAATACATTAGCCATTAACCATATATGGCTATACACAGAATTCTTTTTTTTTTTGGTACTGGGGATTGAACTTGGGACCCTGAGCTTGCAAGGCAGGTAACGGAACCACTGAATTAAATCCCCGGCCCAAATCTTTTTTTTTTGGTACCGGGGACAGAACTCAGGACCTTGCGCTTGCCAGGCAAGTGGCAGCACCACTGAGCTAAATCGGAATTCTTCTATCACTGCAGAAAGTTGTACTGGACAATGTCCCCTTCTAAACTGTGTCTTGCCTAATACAAATATTCAGTTTACCTAATATAAATATTCAGTTTACCAAATACTGTACAGACTAGCACTGTTTAAATACCAGTCATGTACAGAATTTTAAATTTTCCAGAAACATTTTAAAAAGTAAAGAGAAATAGGTGAATTTAATTTTAATAAATTTATCTAGCTAATATAGTCAAATCATCATCCCAACAAAGTAATCAATACAAACAAAGATTCTACATTATTCTATTTTTACTATTCACGCCCTTCCTGGGCAGCACTAGTCCACTGAGGTGTCAATTAGAAAACAAGTTCAGGATGACTAGGCAAGTTGACCCCTGTAAGTGCTGATCCATGTCACAGAAAACTAGAAGAGCTCCCTGATTTCCAAACTCCTGTTCCACCACTAAGGGAGAGCGTGTACCCAGCTGTGTATCCCAAAGGCAGAAAAACACAATTGATATCTATGGTAAAATGCAGACTCACTCAAAGGTAAAACAATTTCAAAGTCCCTCACCTCTCAAGTTTGCTTCTTTCACTAAGAACGGAGTTAAACAAAGAACTGAGTCTATCTCAGAGAGATACTCAGTTGATTCTAGCAGGAGAGAGACTCACTATGTAATGATATACGTGTAAATCCCAGATCTAAGAAAGTCTTCCTATAACGGTTATGTTGCCTGATACCACTAAACCCAAAAAGATTCTCAAACTATACAGTAGTTATAAGCATCCTAAATCAAGCCACTTAATGTTTATAACCATGAGTTATCAGCTATAATTTAGAATATAAACATTTTTGGACAAGCATAGAATCTATTAGTATTTGTTTTTAAAGTTTATGAAAAATGAGAGGAAAGCCTTACTTCTTTTTTATTTTTTGATTTTTTTTTTTTCCCTTACAGTACTGGGGATTAAACCAAGGCTTTCACATTGAGTTACACCCTCTGCCCTTTTTTAAAATTTTGAGCAGGGTCTCACCAAGTTGCCCAGGTAGGGGTCAAACTTGTGCTTTTCCTGCCTCAGCCTCCCAGAGTGTTGGGATGATAGGCATGCACCACCATGCCCAGCTTCTGCTGCAATTAGTTTTAGACAACCTGAGAAAATTTTGGATAATTATACAATGAACACATTCTTAAGTCAACAAAGGGCCAGGGATTTGGCTCAGTGGTTCCGGTGCCTGTCTCAAAAGCACAAGGTCCTGAGTTCGATCCCCAGTACGGGGGCGGGGGGG